CCCTTAAATCAGTCTTGTTTCCCAGACTAGTGTTTTTGGTTTTTTGAAACCACATCTTTGTAGCTGTTCACGGAACTCGAAACTTGCGATATTCATATATTTGTTAAGTGTTTTTGGAGATAAGCTGCTCTGCCAACCTGTTACTATCTTTTTGTAGATGGGAATCAACCTCTCTACATCGGCAGAATTAGGGTTTGCTGCGAGAAGGCGTGCCATTGTCTCGCCTGGTAGAATTCCTCGGAGACCAAGTCTAAGATTTCTGTGATCTTGGTCATTTATTTCTCGAATTTCAATGCACGGTTAAATGAAATCTTGCAAAATTTTTGTCCGGGGCAAAAGCTGAGTGAGGCCTTCAAAAGTCATTTTAATTGCATACAGCCCATCCAATTCTTTGTCATCAAATCTTTTCTTCAAAAAATTCGATATTATGAACAAAAACCTTGTTACGGATGGCAAATAATCCCTTCTCTCACTTATGTACAAATTGTGCTTGTCTCTTCTTATTCTCTTTTCGCGTAGTTTGAAAGCATGATCTCCCCCCCCCCCCCCCCGTGTAACAGGACCAATCACATTGTAAACTGTAATCACGTGATATGCCAATTATAATTAATAGAGGTATATAAATCGAGAGATTGGAAATAAGAGGAGAATGGGATTTTTATTTGAATACAGATAAAAGTGGTGTTCTCTTTTCTCAACGCTCTGCCGTTACGACCTGTCACACCCGTCTTGTTGGTAACGCAGACACCATGCACCAGCCCATAGGGGAATGGCTGGAGCCGAGCTAGGGGGCCTGCCCTAGATTTTTTACGGCCACACCCTTTGAAACACCGGAAAACATTTGCTTCTTTCTGTCCTTATTCTTAAACATAACGATTCAGAGAAGATTTCAATTACTATAAAAATACAGAACCGAGTTAGATGGAATAAAAATTTATCTTTGATCAAACAAGTTAAAGCATCATGAAAACGAACAAAAACGGGTTCGCAGTCAAGAAGAACTGCTACTAATAGGTTCGTGAGCGAAAACTTTAAAAATATTTTCTAACCTATAATTGGAAAAAGTTGGGGAGGGCTATAGTCCATGTTATGAAACATTCCCAATTAAATGTTCCTCCCAGCTACCACCGAGAGGTTTATTATCGTTCAACTGCTTTAGCACCTCAGCTGAATCGTTTTGCATCTTTTTCTGCAATCTACTGACATCTACACAAATCCCAAAATACATTACGGGCGGGAAGGAAATCATAATCACGGTCTCGGTCTTTAGGCTCAGTGTTTTTTTAAGTAAGTCGTAAAAGCAAACTAACTTGACATGATGTCTTGAAGTTGAAGATGTATACCGAGTCCATCTTTCTTCAAAACAGTACGAGTTTTAAAGTTTATTAATTTTATTGTCATTTTTATTGTCAATTGCTCATTTCTTATAGCAATTCACTTATAGAAATGAGTGCGATACATAAGGCTGGGATTGGGCTTTCACTTTGCATTGAAAAAGATGTTCCTAATTCTATCTTAGGCGTTTCGATTGGCATTTTATGCTGCACTGTTTACTATAAGAAAATGCACTATTTACAAATCCACACTATCTACAATTGCAGTTCCACAATCTCAATTTGCAACTCCACAAAGTGTGTCAGATCAACGCTTATTTTAGGCCCTGTCCGTCAAACAAAGAAGACTATGAAAGAATGTGCTTTTGTTTGATTATGTTCTCAAATAACCCTCTTTTCGTGTCTTCTCTTTATCTATTTTCTACTCTCTCTTGCTTCGCTTAACCATGCTTTTGCTCTCTTCATCGCTATGAACAAAATTTCAAATACATCTTTGTCGTTTTGATTGTGAACAAGTTCCATCGCCATGCTCAATAAGTGAATTAGGTTAGGCCCTATGGATTGTTGATGATAAATCGACAAATGATGGATGAAATGTTGCGCTGGTTTGGCCACCCCTGCATCCAACAATGTCCAACAATGTCCAAAAGTCGCAAACAATGTTGGGATTTGTTGGACGAAATGTTGCACTGGTTTTGCCGGGGCTTATAATATGGCTGGCAAATTCTTGATGGAAAATGTGTACCTGTACAGTATAGATCTGGAGATTGCATTATGGAAGTCATTGACTGCTAGCGTTACAGGCGCATTGATTTTCGAAGTACCAATCTTTTATAAGAACTTTGAATTGACTTGCATTTTTGAAGATTTTATTTCATTTGGAAGAGAATTCCAAATCTTTGGACCCAAAAAGCTAATAGATTTTATACCATAACTTGTCGTTTTAACCTTTGGAACAGATAGAGTATCAATTTATAATAATAGCTTTTGGGTTTTGGGAGAAAGTAGTTTTTTATAAAGGCTGGATTCAAGTTGTGCAAAGTTTTGTAAACTTCTAGTGCTAGCAGCCGAATGGAGTGAATATGAATTGTAGTAGATTCAGCCTTGACTGGAAGTTTAGAATACGATGAAGTGTAGTCTGAGAGGGCCAATCGTAGGGCCCTTTCGTTTACTTTCTCGAGCTTCTTTTGGCTTGCATTACTGCAGAATAACCAGATGAGGGGGCAGCAATTGAAGTGACAAAGAACAAATTAAGTAACAATCACCACTCTTTCTTTGCTGCCCATTAATCGAGCTAGTCTTTTGATTGCGTTTAGCTGAATGGCAGCTTTTTGCAGACTTAATCAATATGCAAGTCAAATTTTAGTTGTTCATCGATTTGAATTCCAAGTAGAGTTACTTCGCTACTTACATTTATTTTTGAAGCCATCATTTAAAGAAAATTCTGTAATGTGATTGTCATTATTACCCACAATTAATGATTGAAATTTAGATGGATTGGCTGTCATATGATTTGAATTGACCTACAAATTTACCTGGTTAAAAAATAACAACCTGAAATTCTTAAAGTGCCTGTGACATGATTTTCGTACTTTTGGGTTTATATATCTATTCTTATGTAAAAAGGCCTGTTATTTTCATTTCTGAGGTTAGTTTTTACGTTTCGTGAGAAATGAAGGAGTTATTGGCGATCTTCTCCGCCAAAATTCGCCATCTTGGTTTTCAGAATAAGTAGACAGTGACGTCACGGGAGGGACCCGATCGCCTCCTCCTTCGAGTTTTTGTATCGTAGTCAATGAGGGAAATCTAACAGGTTCAAGATGAGCGATATTTCCAGAGAAAGTAGTGGCAGCGAGGATGAGATTTTTGAAGGTAGCGCTTACATTGTTACAATAACGAGTTCCTCCCATGACGTCACAAAAGAAAGGCGAATGATGATAAAGCGACTTGGCTAAGCCGCACTATTTTGCTTAATTTCAATATCAAAACGCTTTTATTTCAAAAAAATAGTTCAGATCTACTATAAGAGCAGTGCAACGCTTCAATTAAGAGAATAAAAAAAATCATGTCACAGGCACTTTAAGTTGCTGTCACACACCTCTGCAATACATTTTGTCAATCTAACTGTGTGGCATATAATTGGCGACATAATTGGCGACATTCATTGAAAAATGATAATGATGGACTTTTCTAATAACTTTGCCAAATCAGTATACCGGGACGGGCAACTACCCGAAGTGGCACCATGGTTGCTGCGAAGGACCAGAAAATTTTCGAATTTTGATGCTTCCAGTTCCCTGGAAAATGCACTCTTTTAAGTAAATTTTACTAAAGCAATCCTCCTAATCCTACCGAAAATTCTTTTATTTTTGCAAACAAATTGAACAGCAGATAAAAACAACTGGTACAATTTCGCCGTGGTCTTGAAAAATTCCATGTTGTCAGTTACTTCTAAAGCTAGGTGACAAGCAGCACTGGTTGCCAATTTAGATCCCTCTTTCCATCTTAGCATGCCTTTTTAGGGGAAATGGACACAAGACACAATTTTACCTAAAGAGTGCCTGGATTTTTAGATTTTGTGCCAACAAGAAATCTTCAAATCTTCAAGTCATTAGTTTGTTTATCTTTCTTCATATCAAGAAATATCATATTTAGCCAAAGGAACAACTACCTTTGCTTGATCCTTTATTGATGTTAATACATGCAGGTCTCTGAATTACCTAAAGCGTTTTCTCCACTGGGCGGATTTTACCCGAGATTTCCTCTCGAGATACTTTTGGGGGGGGGGTGTGACACCCCCATATCCCCCCGGTCGCGATGCCCCTGGCCCGAGATTCAGATACAAGCGATGATGAAAGTGAGACTTTAAGTGATGAATCAACAACATTTGGCGAGGAAAGTAAATGTGAACATGATTAAGATTTTTACTTTAGTTGTGCAAGGGTAGACGCCCCTTCTCTAATTTAACGTTTTAGTTCCCTTCGAGTAAAACATTTGTTAGAAGTGTTTCTATTGATGTTGAAGGAAGTTTTGTTGCTTATGTTTATGATTGTTTCTGCATCTTTGTCGCACGGTGAGACATACAAATACGTTATATGAAGGAATCAACTATGCACGGGCACATTGCAGCTATATATCAGATTTTTGTACATGCAATTCATGTAACTAGTTTTAAAAATAGACTAGAATTAAATTTATATAAGTTTATTGTAGTGGCTGTTAATTTCCAGTTTTCTAACATGTTTGAAGCAAATAACATGTTTATGTGCATCGGAATGTTTGCAAAGGGTGAGGTTTTGGCTGAAAATGGTAAATTTTGAAAAAGACGCTCTGTTGGCCACGCCCAAAATTTTGAGAGGGGTAGCCCAAGCTAGTTTTAATCAGCGGGCTTTGCTGCCTTAGAAAATGCATTCAAACCTAGTTCCTCAGACTTCTGTCACGGATCTTAGACAATTGACCCTACCTCAATCTCTAGTTAAAATGGTGCAAAAGTTCTTATCTATAACCAAAACATTCCCGATATTATGCAATTATAAACCATCCTCTAACCAACTTACAATTTTCAACAATCATTCTTTTTTAAATAATTCTGAATTAACCTCTAAAGACAAAATTTCTATCAATTACGGTGAACACGTTGCGATAAGTTTAAGTTAAACAGGGTGTTCTGACCAAATTTTCTAATTATTACAAAAAATTATTATGTCCTCATGTTGGAACGGAATCAAACAGATGTCAATAAATAGAAACATTTTACCAAGAAGATCTATTATTAAGGCAGAGGTCGAACCGCACCTCAACATTTTCTCCAACAGGTCTTAATATCTGGTATGAATGCTCAGATTGAAGCAGGCAGGGGCGCCTACCCTGGAGGGGCTACAGGGGCAGCTACCCCTCCTGCCCTCTTCCAGGAGGGGCAGAGGAGGTGTAAAACGACACTGTTTTACAGTTGCCCTGGTTAGTCCAGTACAAAGGAAACAACAGTTGATTCCAACAAGAACCAGAATATATGAATAATTAGCGATATAAACCATAAGCAATAGTTCAGCAATTTAATACAACAAGCAATATTCGTCAGCGGCAATAATGTTCGGCGGGTACACTGTACTGAATTTAACGGTTAACTGCAACTTCATAAAACGGAACGGCTTCGACACGACTTCACTTCTCGGCTTTACACTACGACTCAATTTAACGACTTTCCTTGGCGGCTTTAACTAACGACTGACTCAACATAAAACAGCATGGCAATATAATGAATAACACATGACCAAGAGACAATAGGACGCTGACAACAAGTGATGGCAACTAATGAGAAATGGCATGGCAACGGATTACAGATTAACAAGAGGAACATCACTGACAGGCAACAGGAAAATCTATTGTTTAACAGGGGCAAGCAGTGCCCTTGAATATTCACTCCTAAAGACCGGTTTACACGATCATATTCAGGTCACATTTGCATCACATATTTTATGTGATCACAGAATGTGATCGTGTAAACGACCTTACAAGTTGCTTGAAGTTGTACGAAGCAGCAAGAATTAATCCTTTTTAATTGCCTGTTAATTCGATGTCACAGATTTTTCATTTGACTAGCGATCAAATGTAAATGTCTGTGATGCAATTTTTTCAAAGGCACCGACAAGTCTTTGTTGTCCTGGGAAGAATCTTGTAGATAATTCATGACTAGTTTAGCTACTTTCGCTAAATTAATTTCCACAGGAAATTCAAAAAAATAAAAAATCTCCCTTTTTGCTCTCGGTCACTGATAACGGAAAATTATTTTCCAGAAAATGATAATAAACTCCAAAAAGCAACAGTTTTCTTATAAGATATTGACTATTTTGCCCATCATCAGGACAAGAATGTTACGCTTAGTTCATGCCAAATATTAAAATAATGAAATAACATAATAATAAAATATAATAACAACATGCTGAAGTAGAAAATAATTTGATTGACATTAGCTTATTGTGTTTTTTATTTTCCATTCTACACTCTCAATTTTTATGCAACCATAGAGACTAAGCGGAAAATCAAATATACGGCCAGCCCTCTAACATTTCTATTGTTAGAGGTGTTGTTGGGAGATGTTGAGAGCGTTTTAACACCCCATACACACAATGTTCAGTCGGCGCAAGCGCACTAGACTTGGAATTTGCGCCAAAGTACGGCTTCAACGCGTCAAGATCTCAGATAAGACCAAGAGGTTGAGAGAAGGTTGAATTTTATAAATTGTATAATGGCACACCATGACAAACGCTTGGAAACAGTTGACAGTGAAAGCAAATCGGATGAGATAGCGATTCAAAGCATGTTGCAATACTAATATCCTGACCTTAGGAAATCATCAGGCAGCTACTGTTAAAGCAAAAGAGTATCCGAAGTTCATCTTCCAAACTTGTCTTTGATCTCTGAGAGTCCGAAGTTCATCGCTCAACGAATGTTTAGTGGAATTGTTGAGAGCGTTTTAACACCCCCAATTCAACATCACTGAACATCACTAAAAATCACTGTACAAATGTTGAGCAATGTTCAGTGAAATGTTAAGAGCGTTTTACGGTTGCTGCAGATGAAAGAGCTTTCAGCCGTTTGAAGCTTGTTAAAACGTACCTTAGAACCTGTATGACAAAATAGCCGCTTAGAATCTCTTTTGTTGATTTCATGTGAAAAACATTTAACCGACACAATAAACTTGGATATTATTTCAAAACGTTTGGCTGAGCTTAAATCTAGAAGAATTAAAATCAATTGAACTGTGTCAAATGACTTTTTGAAAATTTTTATGTTTATTGCGATACCAATGAAATTAATCTCTTATCGAAAATCTATAGCCTAAGACACACTGTCTTTCTGCACTTTCTATTTGTATGTCTTTTCTCAAATTCGCGAACATATTGGCACTTCGACATCATTCATAATCCAAGAACGGACTAAAACTAAAATTTTCCTTACAGTCAGCAATACCCGGACGCTGCTTGCGTGGTTTAACAGCACCAGCACCCCCTCTCAAATTTGTTCTAGTTTGTTGATAAGAATAACAGTATCTGTGCAGCGATATAATTTCTTTGTTGTTTTTTTTTATTTTGTACAGATCTTTCAAAAATAAGAGACAACAAAAACACCTATCTTTAAGATGCCACGCCTATTCTGTAGGCAAAATTTTTCTTTTACACCAGCCCCCCCCCCCTCTCCCCAAAGAATAAAGAATCGTCTTCGCGACGGGCCTGCCCAGGCTGGAGCCGCCACTGCCACAGTTTGAATTTTTTCTTTGGCTTTATTGAAGCCGGACCACACTGTGATGAAGGACATTTTGGTTAGGCGAAATACTAATTTTCCAATTTCATGCCATGAGCCAAGCCATTCCTCCTGCCCAATATTGTTCAAGCTGTTGTTGGTCGGTTTATCTTTCTTTGATACTGCTGTGCCCCCTGCTTTGAAGGGCTACCAAAATCTTTGGCAGCAAGCACAGAATTATGAAGACCATTGAATAGCAGCCTTTACTGTTTCGAAAGGGAACTATCGCAAGCCAAAGCCTCTTCGAATGGAGAGGCTCGGGTAAAAGGTGTGAGCCAAAGGTCTTGACACAGTGGCTATTCCCTGAAGTTTTCTTTTGGTCACGAATCGAAACCATAATGGGAATCGTGCTGGATCAAGCCTCACTTCTATAAACGTCAAAGCGACGGAGAGCTGAGAGACTTTATTCCTTGCCGAAAGACGGGCTATTTGCAAAAAATGGGTAGACCAAAAACGAACTCAAATGATACGGTGGATTCATACTGGAGCTGGTTGTCATGCTTTAGTAACTTCTTCGTTGGTTTTATTTGCTTTGGTATTCTGAGCAATTTTGGAGTCTTCCATCCGCGTGTGATGGATCACTTTGACACGGATAATCAAAGTTCAGGTGAGCTTTTTTGCAAAACTTTCCTGCAGTGGATACATGCTGTTATGAGGCTCTTATACAAATAGGCCACTTCACCACAGGTCGCGAAATAGACAATTCCTTTGTATTGAAGCTCTGTTTAGACCTGCCCTGTTGAAAAAGAAAAGAAATAATCTTTTTTTGCCCTCATAGCTTCCTGCTCTGGTCGACAGTCAGGTTGAATTTTTTCTTCTCAAAAGCTTTTTGATTGATGTCATCAGAAGACCAAAAAAGGAGAAGTAAAGGAAGGTTAGATTCAAAGAAAGGGTTCGTTTTTAAGGCAGGCTTTCCACTAACTGGGTTGCGTGCCCCCTCTTTTCAGGCTGCGTGTTGTGTCCCCATTTTTTAAATGAAACCAATGTCTATTAATATGGGTGTGATAACATAGGAAATTTTGGGGGACCATACTCTACAAAATGCTTGGTAAGGCCTTTCGATGAGGAGTTCTCCACGCATAAAACAAAAGTTAAATTTGTTCGTTGACGAACGCATGCCCTATCTGTATGTTGATGTATCTCGGCGCAATTTTTTGAGGTTTGGATTAGAACAAGTTCATTTTGTAGATTGTAGTCTAGAGAAGCATAATATGAGATTATAAATGCTATTTTTCATCATTTCAACCTTAGCACCAAAACTGCAGAGATGGATACTCAAATAGGGATAGTACGGGGGCCAACGGGGCTCTGCCTTGTCAGGGTACCCATTTCACCTTGATATGGTTTTTTAAAATATTCGTATATTTGGCAACATTAAATCGTTATAAAGGATCTGGGATTGTTTTTTAGCTCAGAAATTGTACTCTGATATGAACATGACATGGCAGGGGAGACAGGATAGATTATATAAGAGGACGCTTTCTATAATTTACTATCTTTTTAGAGAAAGTCAGGGGCGAAACTGCTGGGGGGTATGGGGGTATGGGGGGGGTTGCTGCATCCCCCCGATCCTCAAAAAGCAGATTTTATCGGGCAAATTTATGGCTGCTAGTGTATCTGTCGGGCAAATCTGGAAATTTTCTCTAGGTCGCACTTTTATTGTTACTTTTTGCCCTAGCTTTGTGTTTGAATTATGGTCTTTTCCCTATCTTTTTTTCAATCCCGTCCGGTTGGGAAAACAAAACAGAAACGAGGCAAGCTACAGCAAAATATGTACATTTCTGTCTTTCGTCCACCGATCAACGCTTTCGTCTCGAGCTCGACACGCACATGTTTATCTTCGTCTCGAGATAAAGTCTGAAGTATTGATCGACAGCGAAAGTATAGACGGGAAGTAAAATGTGTTTGATGTAAAAAGGAAATGGACACATGGCATGCCCTCCCCCTAACTTTTGCAAGACAAGAGAGCTTTTTTCAAAATCTTTTGTTATGATTTCTAAATTTTCCCTTGACCTGCCAACCCCCCCCCCCCATTTTCCATCCTGCCTCGGAGCCCATTGAACACTGACAATTTTAAAAGCATAATAAATCAAAGCATGAAAGATATGCCACCTCGGAATACGTTGTTGAGAAAAATCAAGCAATACTTTTTTTTCCAAATGTAAGAAACTTGTCGTGCCTGACGAAAGGGCTTGTCATGTTTGATGAAAGCGCGTGTCATACTTGATGAAAGGGCGTGCCATGCTTGAAGAAAGGGTGTGTCATGCTTGATGAAAGGGCGTGTCATGCATGAACTTCATTTTTAGGGCACATCGCCTCAAGGGCTGAAAGCATCGGGGACCCCGAGAGAGGGTCACTAAATATGGAAATAGCATACTTTCCGGGATCGAGACTATTTTGCGACAAATTGTGTGCCCTAGAGGGCCTATGACCTCCATGTCCCAAACCACTGAATATAAGGCTTAATTAAAAAACAATTTACCTCTTCTAGCAAACATACAGCAAATGTGCATTTGACTATACAAAAATTGTATAGACAAAATTTCTTATGTGGCGCATTTTTACAATGTTATTCTGGAAAATGTGCAACACTTTTTGACAATAAAAACACCCATTATAAGAACATCAACACTTGATTTTCCAAAAACAACTCCATTATGTTCTTCATCTCCAAAGAACCTTAGCTATAAGTGGAAGCAACAATTGATATAAACCATTGACTTGAATGATGGGATAATTAGTTTTTACAAATTCCCTTTTTTTACTTATTTGTTTTTCATTATTTAGTGACGATTTTTTGTTCCTCAGCCTGGCTTGGATCGTTGGCTTTTGGTATGACTTTCTTCATGACTCCGTTGAGCAATGCTTTGTGCGAAGTGACGCGTGCAAGCTACGTCTCCCTTTTTGGGTCCCTTATTTGCATCATTGGCTTGGTGTTATCGTCGTTCGCAAGTGATGTATCAATTCTGTACATAACATACAGTTTCTGTTTTGGCATTGGTTCCTCTTTCGCCTTTTTTCCCACAGTGGTCGCCCTCAAAACCTATTTCAAACGCTATCTTACACTGGCCAATGGTTTGGCTACTAGTGGAAGTGGTCTGGGCACATTCACCTTAGCGCCAATTATTGAACATTGCTTGGAAAGTTATGGAATAAAATGGACGTATTTGTTTTTGGCGGCCATCGTGCTTTCCCTCGTTATATCTCAGAAAATGCTCATGTGCGTTGAACAACGTCACAAGCTTCCCCAAGATACTGAGCAGCAACAGTTATTGATTTATAAAATCAAGTCAATCGTTTTTCGAGGCGACTTGTGGACTGACAAGAAATATGTCGTAATGGTTGCCTCAATGGCTGTGTTTCATTTTGGATTCTTCATTCCATACGTCCACCTGGTAAGTTTCCCTGTACCATCAATCTTACTAATTGTTATCATATGTTTAAATCAAAATTCCCCTTAATCTATTTCTTACGATTTATTCATTGCTTTTATTTTTGTATGTGTTGATTTTTAATTGCATTTCCAAGGTCAAGTCATAGGCAAAGGTCAGAGATCAAAATCAAAGGCACAGGCCATAGATCAAAGGCAACAGTTGATTTTTTTCACCAAACGTCAAAAGCAGCTAAATATCATTTTTTGTTAAAGCTTCAGAATAATATTTTGGCCTCATTTTTTGGAACCATTAGACAAATTCGCTTAAAAGAAAACTGGAACAAAGAGTTTTCAAGATATTTGATTTTCATATTTTTGAAAAGTTCCAGAATATTTCTTGCAATAAATCAAACTTGTTTTTCGATGTTTCGCATTGAACCGTGTTAAACATTTGTTTAAAGCTCGCTATGGTTTTTTCATGAAGTTGAGCTTTTGCATCTCTATGGAGCATGATAAAGCACTTTCATTTGGGATCTTCGACCAATTAGAGGGTACATTGCATTTGTTGCTGCAAAAAAGCAAATCCAATAAAAAGCAGTCTATTTTAAGTAGTAAAAAGTCTAGTCTATTTTATGTTAGTAAATTTCAATTAATGTCAACATTCTAATTGTTGATCAAAATGCTCTTGGTAACACAACCATGTTATTGTCATCATCAAATACATGATGTGACCGTGGCTATTAGGCCAAAAGGAGCCTCACTTTGAAAAGCTCTTTGGCTACGAGTATTCTCCTTTTGTTTAAAAGACCTGTTTATTTTCTATATTTGAAACATTAAAACATTATTCAGAATCAGAGAAAGACTCAGTACAATTTTTGTCTAGCTCTTTAACAAAACCCTTTGTAGCAGACCAGTTGCTGGTCCATCAACAGGGCCGCCCTTTCTTTTCTAGTTGAACCAAACAGAACTAGAATGATTTCATGACAGTTAAATGCTACGATGCAGAAAACAAAGCCATATGGTTGAACATTTGGCTGTGCATAGATGTTTTAAGAACTTAACAAACATGTATGGACCAATGACATGTATTGTACCAAATTTAAGGTCCGAACATCTTTAAAAGTGACATTTTAACCACTCAATCTTATTGCGTCCCAGGATATGACGTCATATTTGGCGATTTGGCATGTCAAGTACAGATATAAATGAACTAACTGACGACTTAGAGTCAGAAGCAGCTATACCTGATAAATTGTTTTGTAGCAATTTTATGCCACTCGACGGTGAAAAAATCAAGGTTATGAATTTTAATGCTAACCGATCTAATTGAGAGGAATCTAAAATTCAAATCAATGGTTGTGCTATCAAAAAAAGTAAGATTGTTAAATTGTTAAGAATAACATTGGACCATCAACTTAGATCAGAAGGACAAATTTTATCGGTCAATTGTTAAAGATCTTGAGCATTTGCATATCTTGCGATGAAATTATATATACCATTTAACGTTTTAAATCTATCATTTATGGATTAAATATCTTCCATAAATGTTTGTCTATATAACTTTAGAAATTCCAAATTTAAAACACATTACGAAATATACGGTTTTTATACCATGTCATAAAGATGAAGCCAAATTTTGAGTTCAATCACCAATGAAATAAAATACTCCCAAAATTTTACAAACAGTCAAGAAAAAAATTTCAGAATTTTCGTTTTTTAATTGTACTTGTGCCCTATTCAAGCAATACATATGCAACAATGGTTATGTATGCATTATTCTGTGCAATGCTAATTTTAATTTGTTGGTTTGATAACCTTCAGTGCTGCTAGACTTGTACCAACTTTAAATAAAGAAAGACAAAAACTTGATTTTAGAATTATCTTCACTCTTTAAACTGTCGTATATAAAACACTCTCTTTATTTCACTTAATTCAGAAATGCTTGGTAACTATCAAAGCAATTCTTCTTCATAAAGTTTATTTTTTCCAGTTTTGACATTTAAATTCTCGCATTTCTCTCTCTTCAGGTTTTTCTTGCCACAAAAAAAGGGATCCCTACAATGAAGGCTACTATGCTTATAAGCTATTTATCAATCTCATCGACAATTGGGAAAGTTGTTTTTGGTTTTCTTATCAACTTCTTCCATTTGAACGTCAGGATGGTTACTGCATTTTCAATGCTATGCATTGGCCTAGGGAATTGTTTTGTTCCACTTGGAGAGGATTACATTGCCATCTTATCATACGCTGTCTTATGCGGGTTATCAGAAGGTTGCATTGCTGGCCAAATAGCAGTTACTGTCTTGGAGACTGTTGGCAGCAACAAAATGTCTCAAGGTCTGGCCAATCTGATGGCAATTAATGCTATTTTCATGATGTCAGGACCTCCTATTGCAGGTATTAATACGTTTTATTCATTCTGATATATCTTGTTAATAAAATCAATAATTCGTACTTTCAAGGGAGAAGTTTGTCAAACAACATTTCGGCCTAAATAACTGTATGAAAGCACCTAAAAATTTTCCACTAACTTGCTACAAAAATTTCAGCTTTCATTTAATCCTTGCAAGAAATAATGTTATTTTTACACTTTAAAAGCCTGATCGAAAGGACATATATGATTCATTATTCTATCTTATTTGTTTATTTCCTTTTTTAATTTGTCATTTCTACCAAGTATTGTTTCTTCTCTTGTTTTAGGTTTCATTTTCGACAAAGCCCAATCCTACGACACTGCATTCTATTTATCGGGCTCCACTTGCACAATTGGAGCTATTCTGATGCTTATGTTGGCTTTCATTGACAGAAAAACCAATATTGATCAGAAAGAATATTCAGTAGGGGAAGTTTCACCAAGTCAATCCAGTTTGGACGAAAATGATAACAGTGATATCTGCCGTTTCAAATTAAGTCGATTCAGTCTGTTGAAGGAAACATCAGTCTAGATGGAAGCTGCTAAAATACGTCGCAAAAGGTTTTTTTATAAGCCAAAATTTTTAGAAAATATCGTTTTATGATTTCTTAACTAGAAGAAATCGTTTGATGGTTTGCAAACTTTGGTGGCCTCAATGATCTGCCAGCTATCGTCAGCAAACACTTTTCCCCAATCCTGGAAAAGAATTTTTCCTTCATTCTTGAATCTTTACCTCGTCGAGAAAACTCAGTAAACTTACAGCAAATGTTTACATTCTTGATATACAAAAACAAATGCAAATTAAATGTGCCAAAATTATTTAGAGAAGATTTCTTTAGTGGCGCATTTTTTTAATGTTATTCATTAAAATGAACTACACTCTTTTATGATTAGAACACACTTGATCAAATGTCTTCTTATAAATAGGAACATCGTAACTTGATTTTCAAAAAAAATAGAACAACGCAAGAATGTATTCTCAGCCTGAAACATAAAAATAAATAACAATGTGTTTTTTTAAAATTTGCTCTCCTGTTAACAAAATTTATTTTATCAGTTCATCATCCGTGCTACTAGAAATTCCATCAGAAACTGTTATTTAGTGCTCATAGAATCAATGTATAGAATTTAGTTGTAGAACACTCTTTGGATATAAATAAAATTAAGAATATCTAGCATAGACAAAAGTTAGCTGGCTCTTATTTAATAAATGAGTGTAAATTGAGGGCTCGTACATTTGTTTTAGTTGTTAGAATATAGCAATATTCGTTATTACAATTTCTAAATTTCTTAAGGAATGTAGTTCAAAACTTTTGGGGAAACTGGTATAGTTTATATTTCTGTTTCATGCTATGCATATTTAAAAATTAAATTTAATATCTATGTAAATTGTGTTGAATTCTTGTGTTTTGACCCTGACCCTTGAACTCTGAACTCTCTTACCGTAAACAACCATTGTTATTTAAATAATTCACGTGTTTTGTATTTCACGGGGCACTCGTTTGTACAAAGTCTCTGCTAGCCTTTTCTTGGACACAAACAACGCTCACTGATTCAGTGCGGCAGCTAGTTGCGAAACTAGAACTGGAAATATAGATTTTGGTTTGGTCTAGTTTTTCCATGCTGCTTATAGGCCACTATATTACCTATTCAAGTAGGGAATCTTACTACCAGGACATATAGATTGTAAGTAACATGTAATATCACCAAAGACAGTCAGTTTTCTCTCTCGCTGCATATCTATATCACTTCCTACTCTACTATCTTTCCTTTGTCTTTTTTAGGTTTTTTTCAGAATTGAACACTAGAGCTGCTTTCCATTGGCATCTCTTCGCAATGTGCTCTGAAATTCTTAGGAGTTTTTCTAAAATTTGAGACATCTCTCAAAGTTGAGAAATCTTTGATAACAGTGGCGCGAAACCTTTAATCTTTGTTCAACAGATACAACTAATGGGTATTTTCTCCTGTTTGTTTAAATGTGTTGTTTCAACAACTGCCTTCGTAGAATAGATGAGCCTACACACGTAGTGACATGTTGGTTAAACAGCAACATGTTTAAAAGGACACGACAGACACGTATTGAAACTTGAAAATGAACATGCTACCTGGCACGTGTTAATATGGGGTTCATCTTATGGTTTATTCTTAAAATGGTGCCCCCCCCCCCAATGATTCTTTTGTTGCTACGGAACTGAATGTACAATTTTTAAAGTATTTAAGTAGCAAAAGTTTTCATATAGACAAAGCTGATGTTTTGACAAACGAAGACAATGTTTTCAAATAACAAACACATTCAACGAAAACTGATAGGTGCACTGGAGTAGCAAAAGTATGGAAACGGTAGGTCAAAATGGCGGCTCAAAGTGTCCACGGGCCTAAGCCGACCAATTTCAAAATCAGAATTATGTGGTGAAGAGGGCTTGGAAACGATGCATTCGCAATGGCGCAAGCTATGTTATGGCGGGAAATGCATTCGCAATTCCTAGTTAAAAAAATATTGACATAAAATTTTGGCACATGGTGACTAACGAAAAAGGAGACAGAAACTCTCGATTGTATTCATCTCAAGCAGCTGAGGAGAATAAATATCACCAAGATACCGAAGTTTAACAAACAGACAATTGTACGAAGAATGCGAATAAAAAGAGTTAAGCAAAGGTATGAAAGATACTCGATGGAGAACATTTGGTCATATGTTAAGACCCCCATTGGAAGCACCATGTCAACAAGCCGTGGATTGGTACTTTGAAATACCAAATAATGCTAAGAAATACAGAGGAAATCAAAGAATAACATTGCCAGTGAAATTACATAATGATATTGTTGAGGGAAACATTAAAAATGATATGGAAGTTAAACAGTTTAAGACTAGGGACGATTTAGACATATTGAGAAAATAGCTGGAGACAGGGACAGATGGAAGGAACTTTCTAAAGTAATTTGCAGCGTTGCATGAGGCAAACAGTGCAAGCCGGACATGCTGTTTTATTATTATTATTATTCTTTCGACTTTCGGTTTCAAGAAAATTTAATGATATGTTTGCTGTTTTAAGGGGGAAAATTCAGCAAAACTTTGAAGCATTGCTTAAAAACAATTCTGCAAAAGATTCTCTGAGTATTCATGAAAGATGACCTCGAAGTGTCACTTTATTGAAGAAACGTGAACGAAAAATGTTGAAATTCGAAGCAAACTGCTTAAAGCTTCTTTTTTATTGAAAAATTATAACTGAGAAAGCGATGTTTACAGTGCACTTTAATTCTAAAGTTTCAATACTGACACAAGGTGAGTTGCGCTACATTTGATGGTTATGACTTGTTTATCTTAAATTCTGATTTACCTATTATCTAAGCATATGACAATAAAAAAATTAAAGCAAAACGTTCAACGTTTATCATGCTTTTGAAATTAAGAAGATCATCTACACCAGAAGCGTCTATGTTGCTTTTGCAAGGAAACTATTTTGATCACTTAATGGCAGCTTTAGAAACTGTTCACCTGATATCACTTTTAATAACCTAAAGCCTGATGTCTGGGCCAAAATGATCTTCTCGGTAATATAAGTCAGAACAAAGGTGCACGTATTAAGTTTCAAGTTTAATTAATTATCTTATTCTTATTAAGGTTCGTCTGTACTTTGGGACAATTTTTTATGAATCCTTCGAAAATATTTTCCAGAAATTTTCTGTAACACCGGTCCAACGTTTCTATGTCTATTAAACCACAAAACAGTAAGGTAATCTTTCCCATTTATTTTGGTTCAAAAACCATTGGAATTACGCAAAAAATTTCGTGGCGAAAGCGTTCGTTACAAAAACCCCTTAGCGCGGAACTTCAGTTTGAAAAGACTGTCGGCTTAGGCCTTTGGGTTCTGTGAGCCTCCTTTTCAAGCACCGTTTCCATACTTTTGTGACCCCAGTGTACAGCGTCAGAAATTTTTTGCCTCAATATAGGTTGGGGGCCCTTTACCCCTTGCGATGTATTGTGTTTACAGTTATTTCTTCAATCACGTCAGTTTAAATTAACATGCTCACGTTTCTCTTCATTGCAGTCCACGATAAAAATACAGGGAGAAGGGGCGAATCTCAAATCCCTTGTTGAGGGACGCCGAAACGTTTGAAGGGCAAGCGGGCCAGGATTCATTAAAGGGTATTTGAACGAATTCCCAGCTTCTTCTAGTTCTTTTCTAACTGTAATTTTATTTCGATGTTCTGTAAGCATCTTGTAAATGGGCTAACTGCTGTCATAAGAAACTTTTTGACAAGTTTTGAGAAATTTCGTCATGAATAAGGCATTATAGTCAGGATTTCATACAAATCTCTTTGACAAATACAAAAGACACTGTCCCTCCTATCAACGGGCAGGAGGGACAGTGGCCCCCTCCCCGGAGTGAAGGCCTTTATTCTTAAGTAATACCACAGCTAAATAGGGATGCAGTGGTGGGGGGCTCAGGGGGTGCAGCCCCCCTTTGTTGAAATTTTCGAAAAAAGTGGGGTGGGGGGTACAGCCAAGAATCATGGAACGCAAAAAAGCTGTGAAGAATTGTTGCTTCACCATAGGTCAGCCATTGACGACTAAACCAGAAAATAGAAAGAGATACAACTGACAGGTCTAAACGCATTGCAAGCCTTGTAACCATAAAAATGTACACAGGGTTTGACATATAAAGACAGAAAATTTTTGAAAGACTTCTTAATGATTTGGTTCAGTTGCACTTTTGAATAGACAGTTGATATTTTAGTGTTGCTTTTAGAACTGGGGTTAATTGCCTGAATCAGCAACCGGTTACTATTATTTGACTCTGTCTTGCCTGCTTTTATTATTTGATACACTACACTCTTTTTATAAGAACAAGATGATTTTTTGCCTCCACTAACAAAATATTGCTTATGATCTTCCTTCCCGATGTTGTAAATGTTTTGATGCATTTTCTGGCTATCCTAAGATTGGCATACTTGAAAGTTTTTTCTTGAAAGTTTAAGCAATATAAAAATTTTGCCACACCTCACTTTCAATGAAGTTTCTCCCGAGAATCCCATGGTAATGAGGTATTCATCCCAGCTGCCGCTCACACCACTCCAAAACAGCCACGTAGCTGCAGGGGGCACAAATGAAAATGTTAACAACAACTTGCCCCCTTCTGGCTACAGTTTTTCCAAATGATATTTGGTAGTATTTATAATTCCGTGAGCTTGATTTAGTGTAAATGTATCTGTCTGTGGCGAATTCGCCTCTGTTTGTTATATATCTGTTTTCTTGTTTTAAATCTGCTCGAGTTTGCCCACCCTGGCCGACATCTACAGCTACGTGTTGGTCCATCGTCAACCATCGTCAGGTTCAGATTGCAAGATTACATGACAAGAACAACTTTTATTTTTCATAGAGCCCCCCTTGTCAAAATTTTACGACTACAACCCTGGCAAGGGGACAAATTTATGCCTAGAAACAGTGAAACGCTTTGAACGATTGCAAGAAAGTGATTGCACAAAATATTTAAAAATTGTATTATGCCCCATCGGCGGCCTGTGTATTACACAACAAGAAAAGGGGAGCTGAAGAGGCGCCACAAATTACTTACATAAGTATACGAAGGCAATTATCGTGTGCAAAAATTTATCGCGAGGTATCACATCGAAAACACATGAGGCCTTCTTTTTGTTCTTACTTAGAACACAACCTCTCTGTACTCATGTGATCTTTGCACACGGGGCAATCAACCAATCGAAATGCTTTATGGTTTGGGCGGGAAATCATGTGAGGTATCATATGACACGAATTTGTCATCTATAAAATCGAATCAATGCTATATTGGACGCAAGTTGCACTTTCCCTGCTTGTGAACCAACAACTAGCAAAGAAGAAGTGAAATCTAAAGGAGCGGTCTCGATCCTAAAGGTAAGATAATTCCTCATCTGTAGTAAAATTTTGTTATCACTGTTTCAAATATTTAACAGTTAGGCCTGTTTGTCTTACTTGCAGCATTCAAAGTAACATAAGGTGTTCTTATAGACACATTCTAGGAAGTTTCCAACATCATTCCCTGCACTCTCTACGTAGGTACGTAACCTCGAAGGATCAGGACACTAACTTGTCTAACAATTCAATTTGACGGTGTTGCCAAGCATTGACTTGTCCTTTCTAAAACCGTTGAACACGGAAGTAATGAATTTGTCGGGGTAGAAGTTATGTTTGTGATGCTTAAATATAGCAACTTTTGGTGAATCGTGTGTTTCAAGTAAATCTCATTCTTATTACTTTTCCTTTTTAGAAAACCAAGCAAAATGAAGTTAATTTTGTTTTTGATTCCGTTGGTTGCTGGCATGTACGTGCCTTCGGAGCACGACATAATGAAAGATGCAGCATGGATCGAGTGGAAGCTGAAGCACGGAAAGTTTTACAAAGAGACGAAAGAAGAAAGCGTTAGGCGTGCAGTTTGGGGTATGAATTTACAGGACATCCTCAGACACAATGCCGAGGGAGGCCACTCATACAAGAAAGGGTTGAACCATCTATCAGATCTGGTAAGTGAAATCTAGTACAGTATATTAACTCGCCCACAGCCAAGCCACAAGGACTGGAGAGACAATACTTAGCCTCCCCCTTACTTAACTCCTAAAAGGCACATAAATCTTTACACTTTATCATCTTGCCCTTGGTTTATGCACACAAAACGTTTAAGCAACCCCAATTTGCAATGCCTCTTGGTCCCTGCCCAGCCCTTCAGACCAGCAATTTTGAAAATAAAAATGCAACTATGGATACCTTAGGTCCAATAATAATTTCTAAACCTGAACTATCAATTTTGCAGACACATACAGAGTACAAGGAAACAACAGTTGGATGTGTTCGTGTTCCAGAGAAACTTTTTAACAAAACTGCCAAATTTATGAAACTTGCCAATGTCAAACTGCCTGCATCTGTTGACTGGAGAACAGCAGGGTATGTGACTCCTGTGAAAAACCAAGGCCAATGTGGGTCCTGTTGGTCATTCAGCTCAGTAAGTTATGTTTCCTTAATCTAAATTTCCAGATTTTGCAATGAAATATTTATAGATATGGCTGTTGCTACTTCCTCGCAATTTTAATTGCTTTGAATGTGTCACCACTATTCAATTTAGAAGCAGCTTGTCAGTAGAGAAAGTCAGTAATCAAAATCGCATATATGTCTATGTATAATTACCCTTTCTGATATGTTTCTTTTACTTGCAGACAGGTGCTCTTGAAGGTCAACATTTTAGAAAAACTGGAATTCTTATTTCCTTGAGTGAACAAAACCTTGTTGACTGCACAACTAGTTATGGCAATGAAGGATGTCATGGTGGATGGATGGAAAATTCTTTCAAATATGTCCGTGACAACAAGGGTATTGACACTGAGACAGGATACCCATACTATGCAAGGGTATGTCAACTAATGTTCATGAATTACTCTTAAGTCTCAGGCAAGGCCTAGTCATGCAAAAATGCATGGAAGCTGGGAGATAATTGAATTATGCAAGAAGGGTACATGAATGTGAGGCTGTCAGGCTGTGATGCTACCCAGCTCTACCACATCAATTATTTCTTTTACGTCCTCATTTCCCCTAGTCCTAAAAAAGTCAGAAACTCAAACAAAATAATACAAAAAGGCTGTCCAGCAGTGGTAGGCATTTTTATATGGCTATCTCTGCTCCTCTAAAGATTGAGAGTGATTGTAAATAGGAACTTTTTGTTTAGGGTCATTTGCTTTCAGGATTGTCACTGTAGTTTCATGTAGTTTAATTTGATCCTTTTCTTTTTAGGAACTTGGATACTGTTACTTCAGATCACAGTATGTTGGTGCTACAGATACAGGATTTGTTGATCTTCCAAGTGGTGATGAGGAAGCACTTAAACAGGCTGTAGCAACAATAGGACCAATCTCTGTGGCAATAGATGCCAGTCATCCATCATTTCAGTCTTACAGATCTGGTGTGTACTATGAGCCAAGCTGTGGTAATGGTCTTGCAAATCTGGATCATGCTGTACTTGTAGTTGGGTATGGAACAGAAGGTGGAAGGGACTATTGGCTTGTCAAAAACAGGTGAGAGACCTATTTGGTTATTGAGCTGTGATAAATTATAAACAGTAATGCGACAGGTTTGCAATACTTAGAAAATAAAGGTAATTTTGGCTTATCTTAAAACAGTCAGTTTTGCAGTTGCTTATTGCGTTTATTATTGCTTTACCAATTTTTTGTATACCCAGGAAGTGTATACTTTGTGGCAGGGTGTCAAGAGTCACCATAGACCCTTGATAAAGTGTGAAAATTGTACTGAAATTTCATAAAATTCTGATTGTCCTTATTCTACAAAGATGAACTGCTCTTGTTTTCATAAAGTTTTTTTCTTGCAGCTGGGGAACAAGCTGGGGTGATCAAGGGTATATAAAAATGTCAAGGAACCTTGCTAACCAATGTGGTATTGCAACAAAACCAAGCTACCCTGTTGTGTGATTGCAAATAAATATACATTGAATTACCCACACAACAAATTGATGTTCAATGGCAGAACACAGCAGATGCAAGGTGATTTTCACAGCAACAAGAATGATGCTGTGAGCCACAATCAAGCTTTAACAAATAACTTACAAAAAATCATTTTCTCTGTGGATGGAATTCTGAACAATTTGTAAATAAAAGAGTTACAGCTTTGTGATCTAAAAGAATTGCTGCTTTTTAGGATTAAACAATTTAATGACCCCATTCATGACATTTTGTATTTATTGCACTAACCATTTTCGAATATTTACAAAATGAGTAGTCCTAACCAGAGTTTGTATTGCAATAAAGAGATTACAGATGTTTTATAAGATTTGAAATGTATATGGTTTTTCCAAACCAATAAATTCAGTGTAGCATTTTAGGAAGAGATGTATCAATTTTTTAAAACTTCACTTTAAATATTGCTTTATATAAAACATATCAAGAAATTAGAATGAAATTTCCTTTCTTGCTATCATTCTTTGAAATATCTGTTTACGGTATAAGCAACATTATTTTACTCCCTTTAAATTATTGGGCGAAAATAAACATACTTGATACTTGTCATTTGACTGAATAATAACAGGTGTTTCATGGGGAGGGTATTATTCAATATAAAAGGCCCTAGTGCGACCGGCATGCTTTGCCAATGTATTTTAAAAAACGACCTAATATCAAACAGCATGAAAATATCAATAATGCAATCCTTTTTCACCTCGCGTGAAACACAGTTGCCTCAAAGAATGCATGTTGCGAAAGAGCCTTAAGAATCTTATACATGCTACAGGGACAAATGTCCTGAAGCAATCAATTAATAACACAATATTTTGAGTAAACTCAAATACCATGGTGTTTAGACAAATACTATTGCAAGAAAGTAGATCAGTTGGTATGTCTTGACTCCTTGAAGAAGAATTAACTCTTTATTGTTCCTAAACAATATACCTTCAGTACCCTTAGACAGCAACCTGTAAACAAGAATTTTTTATTCAATAAAATCATAAGCTTTCCTGAAATCCAGAAAGTGAAAATAAAGGGTTTTCTTCAAAATGACTTTACACCTATGTCTCAATCATGACATGGGTAAAAATATGTTTGGAAGGAAGTTTGAAATTATTTTCTATAGAGAGTTTGATTATCACTAGAATGCTTAATTTCAACAACTCTACTTGATTCACATAGGCAAGGTAGGGGGGCTGAAATTTTTTTTGCACGAAAAAAATAACGCCCAAATACGAAGTATACTCTAACACATGTGAGCTTCTAATATCAGTCGAAAAATGATTAAAATGCAACGCCATTAAAATAATGTTAAATAATAAGCATTTTCAGAACAAGCATTAAGCATTTCACAAATTTTCATTAAAAAAAGCGAATCTCTTCAACGGCATCAAATGAACATATCTACTATTTTATCGATATCTTTTTGTTAACGTGATTTGCATCATTTTCAGTAATTCTCGCAACAGTTTGTGTTCCATTTCTTGGAGGTCAGAAACTCATAATCTATTTGATAGAAGGAGCTTTATGACGATTTCTGTCGAATTCGTAGCATTCACGCTTGCATTCCCATATCACGGCCAATAGCGTTTAGGGCACATTGACTCAGCGTTTTTCAGCCTTTTTTTCTACGGCACTCTATTTGCGGATAGATTTTTTTCAATTTTTTAGACCAATTAAGTAAAATTGGAGAATTGTTTTTATAGGCATAGAAGGTAAAAACTAAAAAACCAATATGTGAATAAAAGTATAAAAGTTTTTATAGGCATAGAAGGTAAAAACTAAAAAACCAGTATAAAATCCAAAATAGAAAAATGAGAAAAAAGGAGATAAGGAGTAGGCACTACCACCTGGTTACAGCCTCAAACTCAGATGGGGGGTGGTTGTGTATGCCCTTGTATGTTTTAAGCAACTAGCTTGTAAGTGGGCAGAAAATGATAAAAAAGCAACTCATCAGCCAGAAACCCACGAGGGACATTTTGGGGCTTTAATTCGTTATGTCCATTTCTTGTAGGCGCCCCTCGCAATCCTGCGTCCAGGATCACGGTTGCAAAGGTCAGGAAATACAAATAAAAAATATATATATTATAACGATCAACAAAAAGTAGCAATCGACACAGAGTGCTTACTAAAGTAGGACTGTAGAGTGTATGGAGGCATTTAAATTGAGTGGGTGAAGAGGATAAACATGGTACGTCGTGGCTTTGGGAATAAAGGGCTGGGAGAAATGGGAAGGGTTAAAAGTATCACCTGTGCATAACAGCATAAAGTAAGAGTTGGCAGGGTTGGGTGTGGCTATGGGAAGGGCGTGCCAAATGGGTTGCAATGGTTCCTATCTTGTCTGCTGTAACTTTCCACCGTTGATGCTACTTCCGCGAATTTTATTTAACGTGCAGAGAACATGGAGCCAGTGAGAGAGACAGTGTATTGCTTATAACTCTGATCTGATTAAACTGAACTTGACTGACTGAATTACATACAAATTAACATACTTATATACAAAATAAATGTGCTGAGTAATGATGTGTTGTGATGATGTAATGATGATGCAATGGAGAAGGAAAGATCTAGACTTGGGAAGAAATCAGCATGACATAGATGTGTGAACGTGTGTACAATGGTGAAGGGAATGTCCTGTGCTAGGTGTTGCTGTGAATGACCTAGGTGGATGTCATGGTGATGGCATGATGTAGGAATATGGCCTAATTTACAATATTAAAATCACTACAACGTTATCACTTCAAAAGAGCTTTGTGTCTCTTTAACTTCATAAACTCGTTTTATTTGGTTAAAAAGCGATAGGTTAGAGCTCGTCAATGTAATATTAGGAAAGAGAGTGTATGGTTGTAAGAATTATCAACGATCCTAAAAAAGTAAGATCCTTAATGAAATTTTAATAGAGATAGTAAAAGGTGATGAAAACAACCCTGATAGCAAAGATTCTGAACTTGGACAAATAAACTTGGAAAATATGTAATGTTTTAGATCTTGTATATTTGGTCGTGTGATATTTTATGATATTTTAGATAGCACTTAATTTTCTGATAGCATGTGGCCATTTTGCAGCCCATTTAATTGTTTTTGCAAGTAGGTGATATTTCAGATAATGTGATAAAAAAATTGAAAATATATTCTTGTGACGTCATCCTTTGAAACACTTGTTTTGTGTCTTGGAATGCGGAGGAGATTTTATCACTTCTTGTTTCCTTGTGGTCCAAGAGGAAGAATTTGAGCACAACAGCAACGTGAGCAACGGGAAGTTTTGTCGGTGTCGAGTACCTATCCGAGAATTGCTTGCTAAAGAGCAAATATGAAACTAAGTTACTTTTCGCTAACTTTACTAACGATAAATTTGCTGCATTTTGCAATTGGTGATGTGTCATTATCTGACGACCCTTCGTTATGGCCTGGGCATTTGCAACCGTTAGGAGCCGGAAGACCGAAAATGAAAGTCGAAGAAGTTGATGGGTTTCCAAAACCAGAAGGTACCTAAAAATTGAAATTTATATTTTTTTTAACTTTTCTTTCTAAAACGACAACAATTACAGCCATAAAACCTATGCCTGAGGGAGTTAACTTGCATCTCACCTCACACCATGCGGTATATACCAAGGGTTAAGGGTTAGGGTGAGTTTATTATGAGAAGAACGTCAGTGACTTATACTCCGAGCAAGATATTTCGAATACTTCCTCACTAAGATGTGTGACATGGTAGTCTCTATACATGCAGCTTCATGATATTTTTAATCGTATATTGTGAAAAGATTTCCTTAATGCTAGATTTCTTCAAGAATTTTGTGCACACAAAACCAAAGAAGGCAGTCATTTTCAAGGGTGGCGCAAAGCTCTCCCCAGCTTTCACATTATGGACAGATGAGTACTTAAAGAATCACCCTGATTCTGAGACGATGCAGTTTGATGTCGAGGTTGGGAAAAAAGAAACAAGACAAGGAAATATGGAAAGAAGAAATGTCAAGGAGTTTGTTGAGTCATATCGCCACGATGATGTATATGCTGTCACTGATGTCCCACAAAATCTCCAGTGAGTTATGCAAACATAGACAGGCCACTCATTTTCAATATGTCAAGTGAGCTGTCAGTCTAATGCATAAAGTATTTAGTGTGCATAGACCAGGTTTATTTTGAGGTAGGTACCACCTGAAAGCGGACAAATTGCTGTGGTTATTTTCAAGTACCCACATATCTAGGGGTTCAGAAAAGTGATCTGACCTAAAGAGTGAAAACCGGGGTGAAAAAGTTAGCACTCAGACGTAATGCCTCTGCAGAGGAAAAAATAGTGTTAAGTTAATTAAGAAAAAATTTGTGCCAGAATATAACAAGCTGAATATGCCAGAAAAATATTTATTTCAGTTCTAATGTTGCTATGTTATGTTCAAATTTCTGAAAAAATTGCTTTCATGTTTTGAAGACTTAATGAAAATTTTTAAAAGAGCAAGGGATAACAACCACTTGAAATGAATTTCCTCTTTTATATCTTTTAGGAATTTGTTTCTTCTCCCACCTGTTCTAATGTTGCTATGTTATGTTCAAATTTATGAAAAATTGCTTTCATGTTTTGAAGACTTAATGAAAAATGTTTTAAGAGTAGAGGATAACAAATACTTGAAATGAATTTCCCCTTTTATCTTTTAGGAATTTGTTTCTTCTCCCCCCTGTTCTACGATGCAACAGCATTAAAGGCCAGTTGTCAATGATGGTATGATAGATCAATGTTTTCATTCCCTTTATGTTTTATAATTTTAGATAGTTCTATTTCTAGGGCAGAGAAAAACCAGCTATTAGTCAACCTCACAATTATCTAGCTGAGCTGTACATACAAACCAAAAACACAAATTCGAACCAAATTATGAAAATATGTGGCATTGATGCAACCAGTGTCTTTGTTAAACAATAAATTTTGAGTGAAATTTGATATTATTTGCAGTTGATGTGGTTCAGTTCAGGTGGCACAAAGTCAGTGCTGCACCAAGACTCATTTGAGAATATCAACTGCCTTTTCAGAGGTCAGAAAAGACTCCTCATTGCAGAATATCCAAAGTACAAGAAGCAGGTGAATCCTTTGTCATATTAATACCCCAAGGATTATGTAACTGATTAAATGACTAACAGTTAATTCTAACATATGTGATCAAATGAAATGTATTTCCACTTTTTAGGCCTGACAAAATTGCAATAAGAATTTCTATTTTAATTAGAATATTTTTTAAAAGTTCTTATTTTTGTGGCAGATAAAACCTGCTGATTTTGCTTTGTTTTTATACTTATTTCTCCAAGACAGCTCTAGATGTGGAATTTAAACAAAATTGAAGAAAATTCAAAGTTTATAGAGTTTTTTGAATGATGGTGCATCAGGATGAATTCCCCACAATATTGTAAAATTTTTAGTCCAAAATTTCCCACCTTTCAAAACACTTAAGCCAAACTTTCCATGTTTTCAAAGTGCTATCATTTATAGATCTGCAAACCAAAGCTAAAAAATTTTATTTTGAATATTGTGCATTATGAATTATTTAAATTATGGAAGTTGTATCTCTGATTAGGTTTGTTTTCTCATATCACCCAATGACTCCTTTTTTCCATCAAATAATAACAGTGCATCTTGCTAGAATCAAGGGGCTACCCAAATCCTGCTCACTTTGATTGTTTTCAATAAGAATGATCTTAAAATATGATGCGATGGCTATTACTTGGAAGTGTTTATTAATTTCTTTCAAGGTTTGACAAATGTTGCTTTATAATTTCAAAATTAGATTTTTTTTCTTTAAGGTATCTACTCAGTTCTTGTTTGTTCCACATCCATCCATTTATGCCCCCCCCCATTATAACAGATAAGAATTAAGAAGAAATGCTTTAAAATTTTCATGTACATGTTTGTAGGTTGTAATTGATAGGCCAAATGGCTACACAGCAGTTGATGTTGATAAGTAAGTGCAACATTTTTTAGCACAAAATCTTATGTTTTCTTCAAACATGTCACTACATTTTACTGTAAAAACTCAGGTGTCCAGAAGTGCTTTGTGTGTTCCTAAAGGTATGGATGTAGTGCAGTAGTAGCATGTTAGCCATATTATATGAAATAACTGTGGATTTGAATCTTTCAGGAAAACAAAAGTTCCATTTGTATGTTTGTCTTTGCTGTTGTAGATTCAATAACAGCTATTTCAGTCTAGACAAGAGAACAGCTGTCACAGTTATTGATAAATTAATGTTTTGATATCTTATTCTTTATTATTCCATATTTTTGTGTTTGTTTGTCTTTACAATGTGTCTTTATCATTCACGCATAAATTGAAGGAAAATTTGATGAAAATAATATCTTGCATGGTAACCAGCCCTAAGTACCCTTATGAACAGCCCTAAATAGCCAGTATACCACATTTGAAAATAGCAACAAAAGGTTCTAGCTCATGAATAGCTGTTTCTGAACCAACAGAATCATCACTCAATAAGAAACGTGTTAGCTCATATTATGGTCTTTTTCAATCAAATGATACCTAGTATGGAAACCAACACTCTTTCCAAGACAATTGGCTTTGTTATAAATATATTGCTGTTTTGTTTTTCAGAGTTGATTTTGTAAAATATCCTGGATTACGTGAAGTTGAGTACTTTGAGGCAAATATGGAAGAAGGCGACTGTCTATATATTCCCTACCAGTGGTAAGCTTTTTATATATGTATATTTATATATACGGTGGAATCCCGAGCATAAGCTCAGGGCTTATAATGATTCAAACAGGGGCAACACCACGGGGTAGACTGGGGTGGACACGTCCACCCCACTTTTTTTGAAATCCACTTTCTTATCCAAAAACTGGATTGAAAATATAAGAAAGAGGGTGTTAGTTTTCTTTTCTGAGATCGGAACTTTTTTTCATTTTGATTGTCAGTTACGGTTCTTTTCAGATCTTAGCTGACAGAGTATCGTGTGTTAGATCATCAGTTTAGTAAATAGTGAGAAACTAAAATGAAGATGATCTATAAAACACAGCTTTATCATGCTAAACGGTTGGTTCTTAGCGTGTGGTCTTTGCCTTCCCTTCTTGTTAAAGGTTTTTGGCAATAATTAACTTTGAAACTGGTACCCAAACTTTTTTAAGCTGCAAAGATAGAATAGTTGCAGCCCCACCTGTTACAGCTGCATCACCTTTTAGCCTTTATGTCAGACAAAAGGTTGGAAAACTTTCGTTCAAATTACCATTGATCAAGATATGACAGATAAAATAGACAAAGGAAGCCTCATTAATAAGTTTAAGACCATTGCTAGCTAAAAATACCATTCTTAAATCAACTTTTATGTTTTTAGCTTTTATTTGTGTAAACCTTTGCCCATGAAATTTATGTCAAAATATGTCAAACGTTTACTTTAAATTGATAATGGTATGCATTGGTGTTTAAGGAAGAAAATATTGCGCTGTTTAATTCCAAATGTAAGCCCTGGGCTAATATTCAGGAGGGCTTACATTCAGAAGCAATTTTATGTCTCAGGAATGGGTGTTGAATATGGGTTTCAGGATTTTATGGTATATTGATAATATTCTCCCTTCATCATGATGTATTTCTCTGTCTGGAAACCAAAATTACAGAGCACTTAAGGTTACGGTAAACGTTTTCTGGATGAAAACATCATTTTTTCGATTTTTTCACATTAAAGTAGCCGAACTTTCAAGGCGCACAATGATACCAAATTTGAAACAAACAGAAATTTTGAAAGTGGAAAAAATCCCATGTAAACGAAGGTTTCCATAATTTCTTTATCAAAACTTTTAGTTGAGGCCTGAAAATCTCTTGACCTGTTAAGCCGATTATCGTTGCTTTGCGGTTGTGGTCGCATGTCTCATTTACAATATCGCATGGCACATCCATGTATCCCATGTACAGCCGTGTTTATTTAAACAGGCTTATTGATCTTAAATCTTCAAGTGACTTGACCCGGATTACACTGTGGTTTACGAGTGTATCTTGCAAGTGCGATCAGTAAAATCCCGTTTTCTCCGGACTCGAAATTCCTCTAAATGCAGGTACGAAAAAGCTATTATGTACCCAACGAACCAATCAAATGGCTCGAAAATTTGCACACGGCCAGGGCAGACGTTGGGCAAACAAAGTGTGTCTCAAAATTTTTTTATTTTCTCTGGTCTTCTTTTATACCCAAATACAGCTGCGGGAGGGTGGAAAAATTATTTGCCAATTTTTGACAGGGTATAGTTTCTAGAAGAGGAGGAATTTAAAAAATCTGAGACACACTTTGGTAGCTAAGGACCTGCACTTCCTGCTGGTCTAAGTCAGATTTTGTTACCTCAAACGCAAGGGTACATAATAGCTTTTGAAGATGGTACACTTTTTGACCAGTAAATTCAGGGGCGGATCTAGGGTGCCGCAACTGCCTTACGCAAGGCAGTCAACTACCGCTGACAACGACTGAAACATTTGAATTTCGCCAAACACATCTTCAGTTTCAGTTTCATTTATTTGAAATTCCACTACATACATCCTTTGATTTTTTTGTTAATGACTCATGCCCTCCCACCTCCCCCCTCTTCTCCCCCAAGTATCTCCATTAATTGATTGCGTGCAGTCGTTGGGAGACCCTACTTTGCATCTTTGTTTCGCCTCATATTGAGCGAATAAGTGATTCTTTCCCTGCGATTATGTGATCCTCTTCCCTGCCTCAGATGATTTGACATAAATTATATTTTGCGGCATTTCGCATATTAATTTTAGATGCCCGCGCAGTTTTAAACAATCGTTTTTGAGACCCTACGTCATTTTTATTGTTCTCCTTGCGGCATCGATGAGATGTATGAGAAATTTTTGTATATGCAAAATATGTGGAGTGGGCTCAGCGTATGGTTATTTGGAATCTTGAGGTGCCGCAGAATGCCGCATTTGATATCAGGGTGATACTTGTCATACGTAGGTGATCCACTAGATCGGTGCGGTGATCATGAAGACGATTAGCAGCCTCATTTCACTCTTGTACCGTGATTTTGACAGACAGGAAAATAAAGCTGAGAAGGGGAAAGGATATCCTGAAAAAGGTTAAGTTCTGTCAGAGACGTGAATATTGGAAGCTTCATGCATGACCTTAGCAATATTAAGCTTAAAAGACTTGGAAATTCTGCTTCTATCTCTGCAGCTAAAGTATCGGAGCTAGGCCTACTTGGTTAAAAGTTCTATGTTGAGCCGAGAACAAACTTTTTTCTTTGGAGGTGAATTATTATTGAAGCAAACGTTTTGAAACATTGTCATTTATGCTTCATTCTTGTTAACGTTCGGGTTCTTTTAATTTAGACGTATTTGAATAATGTTCTTTGTTTTTTAATAACAATATGATTGCCAAAAAACTTTGTTTTTTATCGCATAAAATGTGTATATTATCAGATACAACATAAAGTATAGAAAAATATTATTTGTTTGATCAAATTGACTCGAATCATGACGATGTAAATTTAAAAATGATAGACAGTATTTAATAAGTATTTTATAAGTTTACAGACACAAGAATTTAATACACATAGAAAATCTGGTTTCAAAAATTCTGTGGAGGTTTCAGGGAAAATAGCTAGCCTCACTTTCTCTATAAATTTTTTTAACTTCAATTTCGATTTGTTTCAAACATCGCATCAGAGCATGCTGGGTTTCTTTTTCTAATTTTGTGTGCTATATTTCAAAATATGTTATGTTATGTTATGTTGTGTTGTGTTGTGTTGTGTTGTGTTGTGTTATGTTATGTTATGTTATGTTATGTTATGTTATGTTATGTTATGTTATGTTATGTTATGTTATGTTATGTTCTGTTGTGTTATGTTATGTTATGACACATCAGACACAAATGTATCAGAGATCTTTCAATTTGGGAAAGCTGTTGCTATTAGACTTAAAAACTAAAAACATAACATTACAGTCTGGTGAATGTTTATGTGTTCAGAAGTAAATTTTAACCAGTGCTTATATTTCTGATAACTTGACATAGCTATCACCTGATTGGCAAATCTGTGTTATTTTAGTAAGGATTATTGAATTGCTATTTATGGTTATGAAATTAGCTTATCTTGTCCTCTCTGGATGCCCTTGGTTGCTTTTTGAGATATCTTGGAGAAAATGCCTTTAAAAAGACAAGTAAACTTAAGGGAAATTGAATTTGTGTATCTGAATGACTCCCAAATAAATATTTGAAAAATACTTTATTCTTTGATGTCTGTATCTATTATCTGTCAATCTGCAATGTCATCTGTTGGTATAATCTGTAATGTTAAATGTCTGTATAATCTTTGTATATGGAAGTAACTGGGCACGAAAAAATATCAATTACTTAGGGCATTTTATAGCAAAGCTTTATCTGTATGCAACCTTCAGTGCATTCTTTCACAATTTTGTTTCTTTGCTGGCAACAGACCAGACCCATAGGCTTATTGATATGCTTTCAAACTGTCAAACATTTGAGTGCTTAACAAAGCAACATCAAATAACTTACACCCTGTCTGCAAAGCTTGATCAAAACACCATGTATCTAGAGGTTATTGGCATGACTGAAAAAAGATATCAAAAGTCTATATAAAATTCTATTTTGATAGAATTTTATATAGACTTCTGACATCTTTGTTCAGTTTTTGATGGTGACAATGTTTTATAAGTTCCAGTAGTGCAAAGACTAGTTTTCAAGATTCAAGTGCAAATTCAAAGTCTAACTGTTGTAGCTTTAGGATGAGAAGAAGCCAAATTCAAGCCTACTCACTTAGACCTTCATACTCCTAAAGAGAGTTCTGTTTCCTTTCATAAACTGAACCATAAAATCTCAAAACAGAAAATGAATTGAAATTGCTGTTTCAAATTATTCTGATAGTGGCTTTTTGGACAAGTTGAACTTGTTGGAGCAGCTCAGTAGTAGGACCTCTTCAATATTGCCTGGGAACCAGATGCAAATTTTAGAGTTCCTTCCAAATTTAGGAAAAAAGAAAGTTTTTTCATTCTCTTGGCTTAAAAGTTACCCATGGTTTCAATATTCTAAAGCTTAATATTATGCAATTTGCCTGCCTTTGGACATTTTTTATCTAAGAATTGGTGTAAATTCATCCAGAGACAAGCTGGTGAATTTTTTTGACAGAAGTTTCCTGTGCAGTAGCAAGATATAGAATCAATGCAGATTTGATATCAACCATACCCTATTATTAACCATGCTAACCTTTGTAACTGTAAAAGAAGTAGGCAGTGAATAGTCATAATTGGCAGTGAAGAATTGCTTAAGAGAATGTTGTTTTATAGTTTCCTTGAATAACATAAAATATTTACATGCAAGCAACGCCACTATTTAACCACTTTACATTGCGCATGCGCAAATGTGTTTTGACCACGCCCCTTTTTCCATTTACTTTTGGACCACACCCTTTTGCGGCAGTCAAATTTTTCTTTAGATCCGCCCCTGAAATTCGCATGGAAAATAACATTTAACATTATTTGCCAATAACTTTTATCTGGCTAGATACGCCATAATCTTGTGCAACGAATGATATATAGTTTATCCAGATTCGTTGAGCCGTTTGGCCTTTAGGAAGGAAAAATCAATTTTCGTGTTCAAAACGTTTACCGTAACCTTAAAGGCAATAAATATGATTAAATGGGTCCATTGAGACAGTGTCTCAATTGGGTGGGCTAAATATAAGGACAGTTTGCTCAGGATGGTCTGGGATGATATTGGCCCTACATTTATGATTTCTCTAGCATTGCACTTTCAGGCCTTCCTGGGAGTAAATTAGCACAAGTGTAGCATTTCGCACCCCTAAGCTGTTTTAGGCGTGTGATGGAATGATATTTGTGTTTTGTCTTATTTCTACAAATGTTTAATTACATAGTATATTGAGCCTTCAAAAACCCCATTCTTAAGTCATTTCTTCAGTTTTCACACAACCTTAGCAATAAAATCTCTGGTGGCAAAACAATAAAGGAAGGGAAAGGATATTATCAGAGATCTTTACTAAATTTGATGCTGAAAGTATTTTAGATGCAGTTACTGGCAATCCCTCTTGCCACCAACCATGGTGGCAGTCTTCATGAAACCCTTGAAAAAAGTTAAAATTTTGACCCCAACTTTCAATCGTGTCTCATCAAAAGATATATGAAAACAGTTTTGAAAACGGTACAATTTGAAAACGGCACAATTTGAAAACGGCACAATTTGAAAACGGCACGATTCGAAAACGGCACGATTTGAAAACGGCACAAAACCTTTCAGTACAAACGCTTGAAACAGAACATTTCTATTGTAAATTTCCCTCTCTTTGAATTTTTCTGTCTCCAAGTGTAATAATGATAATTATAATAATACCTTTTTTACTGTTAGTTTGACAATAGTGTGAACACTAATGAACACTAACATGAAGCAATTTAAGAGATTGCATTATGGAAGTTATTGACTGCAAGTGTTACAGGCGCATTGATTTTTCGAAATAACAATCTTTAATAAAAACTGTCAATTGACTTGCATTTTTGGATGATTTTATTCCATTTGCACGAGAATTCCAAATCTTTGGACCCAAAAACCTTTGCAAATTTCATGCCTTTGTCACAACCTGCCGTTTTCCAAATGTTTCCACTTTCATATGAAAACGATACAACATTAAATAATTTGTGGAAGAACGGGACAACCTCATCGGACAAATATGCCATATTGCGCAAACCCTTCTGGGGAGGGTTGTTTAGCGTTGCGTCGCTCCATTTATTTTTAACCCAGCTGGCGGTAGCAACTGGTTCTGAAATCAGGGGCGTAAAAGAATAGTGTACAGAAAGCAAGCTTTCCAGCAAGGGGCCATTGGCAAAGGCTTCCAAATAAACAGCAGCTCCTTAGAATGACGGATGCCTGACGATCTGATATTTCGCACACAACTTGCTTCAATTTTCTCATATTGCTTATTGTTGTGGACTTAAATAGTATAGCCTTAAAATGTCATTGTTGCCCGATTTCAGGAATATGGCGAGCTCTTTTGTGACCCTTTTACCCTTTTTGCTGAAGACGCCAAATTTAGATTAGAAGAAATACAGCACAAATCTTGTCCAAACTGGAAGCCTTTGAAAATTCAACCTAATTTGCCATTCGAAAAAGGTATTTTAGAAACATGTGCATGCTAACACAGGTCTATGATAAAAAAATCGTTCTGTCCTGACTACTACTAGCCCTGATGCTACGGTCATTTGATCCGTGTTTAAGTGAATTCAAGTGTTGTCACAACAGCTTTTCAAAATGATCAAGTTGACCCAGTACAGTGGACAAAACACATCAAAATACAAAACAATTTCTTGAGGTTTTGTCACCTTATTATTTTCCAGCGCTTTGGTTAAAAAACGAATGAATGATTACAAAAATAGGCGTGCGATTAAACGCACTCCTCGGTGTGAAGAGGCGTGTACCAGCGCGTGCGAGTGCAATCGTACGCCTTTCCCAGGAAGGCCTGCACTTTAGACCTTTAGGCTTGCACAGGTCACGGGAAATGATTCATATATTGATGAGAGTGATCCCATGAGATTTCAACTGTACCTACTCTAAATTTATTTTTATATTTCCAAACAGGTATCCTTGTCTCAGTTCTTGCATTAAGCTGGATAAGTTATTTCAATGCTTGTGAATTTTTACCATGCCATTCTCATTTGGTCCCATCTGGTACTAGTCTAAAGATAATAGCACATGTCACCCTTTTGAAGGACATTAATCTTTCTTCGGAATGCCAATTTATTCTGTGACTGGTTAAAGGTGCATGATTGTCCTGATGTTTGATTTTGAAGGTTCCATCAGGTTACATCATATGCAAATGAAAATAAAACAAATATGGCCCTCAACGTTTGGTGGTATAAAAATGACTCCTATGCTCCACAAGATTGCAAGATGTCACCAGAAGAGGCTACACTTGACAAATTCCAATTTAAAGACCATAATCAAAATGCATATGGTAGTGATGACCAAGAAGATGAAAGTGACAATATTGAAAGCAGATATGGGTATGTAGAAGCACAGTGTGCAAATATGGGTGGAATATGTAACAAGTGTGTTTATTGCTAACTTTTGTGTGCTCTCAGTCACAGCTTCTTGTTATTGTGTACAGTCATGTTCATATTTCAATGTTATTAGCTTCTTTATGTAATGTTTCTTTCCCTACAGTTATCTTTATCTTTGGTAATCTTTTCTTTGCAGTAATCTTCATGCAGTACGGTAAATGTTCCTGGATGGAAACATCCATTTTTCGATTTTTTAACATTCTAGGAGCCAAAATTTCAAGGCACACAATGATACCATGTTTGAAACCAACAGAAATTTTGAAAGTGCAAAAATTCCCATCTAAACGAAGGTCTCAATAATTTCTTTATCAAAACTTTTAGTTGAGGTCTGGAGATCAATTGACCTGCTAAGCCAATGATCATTGCTTTGTGGTTGTGTGGCATGTCTCATTTGCAATATTGCATGGCACATCAATATATCCAATGTTTGGCTGTGTTCATTTAAACAGGCTTGTAAGACTAGTAAAAACCTGTTTTCTCCGGGCTCACAATTCCTCTACATGCAAGTACAAAAGGGCTATTTTGTACCCAAGGAACCAATCGAATGGCTCAAAAATTTTTGCATGGCCAGGACAGATGTTGGGTAAGCAAAGTGTCTGGCAGAATTGTTGTATTTGCTCTGGTCCATCTTTTATAGCCAAATACAACTGTGGGAGTGCAGAAAAATTGATTATCAATTTTTGGACAGGGTATAATTTCAAAGAAAGGAGAAATTTGAAAAATCTCACTTTGGTAGGTAGGGATCTGCGCTTTCTTCTGATATAAGTCATATTTTGTTACTTCAAATGCAAGGGTACAAAATAGCTTTTTAAGGTTGTACACTCATTTAAGCAATAAATTTGCCTCGAAAGTATCATTTTAAGATATTTGCCAATTATCTTGATATGGTTGGAATCACCAAATTTATGTACATCCAAATATTTTGGCTCTTAGAGAGAGGAAACCAAATATTGTGTCAGAAACGCTTAACGTAACCTTAAAATAAAAGCCCTCCAGTAAAAGCCCTCCAGTATAGTTTTAACTGAAACAATGCATGGGGACAAAAACTATGGAACAATATGCCTCTTAAAATAAGCAATTCTTGGCCCAAATTTGTATTCAAAAAGCATGTCAAACTATATTTTCAAAAACCTAGTTTAAAATTCATGTCAAAGGCATACATAATAACACTCAAAATCTTTTCCTACTTGACATAAATCTACTTCAAATCGCATCTCTAACTTATCAACATTGCTTGTTAAAGTATTTAGCTTGCTGGTAACTCTATTATGAAGGGGCTTACTTCTCATCAGTTTGCCTACGAAGGAAGCTCCTCCTAAAGAGGAATCCTGCATCTAGCATTTTGTTGAAGTTTGATATCTAATTGATTTATTCTAAACTTTTTTGCATTCAGTGACTGCTATTATCCTTGCTGATGTTGTTGTTTTCTGACATCATTGTATGTGCACAATTTGACTTTTTCCCCATACTTTGTAATTTTGTAACTACAGTAAAATTTTGTGATTTTCATTATATTCATAATTTTGAAACTGTACAATTTTAAAATTTTGTAATTTGTCATCAAATTCGAAAGCAATACAATACCATATAATATGTTCCTTATATTCTTGAAATATGTCTGTAAAGTTCTGACAACTGAAACCCTGGGCATTTGGGAATATAATTGTAAGTATGAGGAGCTTTCATCAGAGTTCAGATTTGATTCTCATGAAGACAAAAAAAATTGTTTCTCTGCCGAAAGCTTTTGGTTAGTTATAACAGACAACTACCTAACTATTTATAACTACCTAACTAGCTACAGTTGCACCTAAATACAGCACACGGTGAAGATATCTTTAAAGTTTTTTTCTTCAATTTCAGGTTACTTTTCCAAGAATATTTCAAGATAAAGAATGCTGAAGAGATCTCGTTTGACACATTTTTGGAAGATATTGAAGATGTAATTTTCTGTTAATTATTTCAGTCTTTCATATTTCAATAAGTCACCTGCACATAATTAAGACTCCTAAATCTGCTGTGAGACTCAAGAATTTCAAAGTTGTCTCACATTCTCAGGAATGCTGTTTGAAATCTCATGGGTCTAGCAACCTTTAGCCAGTTTTCTAACAAAGCATAATCATATTCCAGTTTTCCAAAGTATATTCTAGTAAAGTATATTCCAGTTTTCTAAATTTTCTTTATTTAGAAACACAAGTTAGTTAAACTAGTAAGACTTTTTTGTTAAGTGTAGGGTGCTCGCAATAGTAAAATATTTGTTTTTTTAAACCTAAAATCTCTTTTATTTAAGGAAATCTGAAGAGCCTATTGTAAAAAATCTCCAGGGAGGCATTCTGTTGTAGAGCCAATGCCAGATACCCTAAGTTTCACTTTCACATACTTCCAAAAGTTTGCAACTATGCATGTTAGAAAATGCATATTTTTGGAAGATTATTTTGTATTGCTATAAAAGATATCCATCTTGTTTATTTAGTGAATTTGGAAACCTTGTAATGACAGACCTCCTTATTTTATTATGTAAGCTAGACATTTGCAGCTATACTACTTAGCAATGACTAGCTTTGTTGATTTTAAACACACAATAATGTCACTCTTTTGATTTAGTCGAATGGACCCCTGGCTGAACTTGGTGTGCATGAGATTCAAAACAAACCCAGAAGAAAGAAATTTGCTACTTTGGTGAGTTACTTTACATAGCTGGTATGCATAAAATTGTTTTACAAATAGAAGTCCAAAGGTTTATTTACAGGACTAAAATAATGATTTGCTCAAACCAGTTAATGTTTTCCTGTCAGCTTTCAGGCTCAGTGTCTTGTACATAGACTTTATTGACTTGTAGAGTGATTTTGATGGCCCACAGCTTTTATTGTCTTCCAAATACCCGAAAAAGACATTTGGGAGGCCCATTTAACAATGGGGAAACATCAATTTTACTGATATTACATTTGAATGAACCAATACTCTCAAAACTGCATCAAATTGAGAAGAAATGCCTTTTGTTCGATTGCAGTTTTACAAAGCTTTGGATATTGATAATAGCGGAGAGCTCAATTTCAAAGACTATAATTATGATTTTGGTGAAAGTGAGGATGATCAAGGAGACAATTATTCACCAGAGAAAATGGTTTGTAGAAGTCCTTATCTTGTATTTGAATGTTTTTTTTTCTGTTCTTTTGTTTTTTAGTTTGTTTGTTTGTTTGTTTGTTTGTTTGTTTGTTTGTTTGTTTGTTTGTTTGTTTGTCTCTTCCTAGCATTCAGAAAATTATAGTTTTTTGAGAGTATTATTAATCCCAAGTGATCTCTCAATGTGACACTTACACCTCGAATTAAAATGGAATTACAAAACAAAGAATACAAAAGTTAAATTTTTTAGGTAATATGTTTTATTCTATCTTGTAACAATACAGACATCAGAGATGCATGATAAAAGTATACTGAAGCCTCTTGTCAAGCATTGATTGTTTCCAACAGCTTGCACTTTTTCCAAGAGATCTCATCAGCAGATCTATTCAATTTTTCATATTGATAAACTTTCTTTGCATATCAAACATTGTTTCAAATTTGATGATAAAAATGTCTTTCGAAGGCAAAGTTAAATGAATTTTCCAAAGTATCCCGATTGCTGGAAAGATATTTTAACTGGCTTGAAAAGAAGAATGAAGAAGGTAAATTATCAAGTATTTTAAAGATTTTGAGTGTCCAGACTTTGCAAGGACGAAACAGACAAGGCATGTTGCAAATCACAATCCACATGTTACTCAGGGGTGTAATAGAGAGCTGTATGAATTTAATCTTTTTAGAAGTGAGAGAGCAAGATTCTAAATCATTGTGGAAATTCAAATTATTCTTGCTTTCTCATGGAGGGGCAATGTCATATTTTGGGAAATTAAGGCATGCATTTATGTACACTGTTGGATGGTTTAGAGGTCACACACCAAGTAAAGCTTGATGTTTTCTTTATCTAAAGTCTATTTTCATTATTTGGAATATTTGAAATTCATGTGTCATTTAGGTAGTTTGAAATACACCGATAAAACCAAGTGCAATTCTTTACAGTGAAATCTCAGGAAGACACAGAGAATAACATTGTTGACCAAGATCAAGAAAAGTCTTCAGGCCAGCCAATAAAAGAGGAGCTTTGAGATAAATTTGATAATGGTTGTTGTTTTATATTGCTGAGTATTTTTAACTAGGTTTTTTGTTAAATTTTTATAGGTAAAAATAATTATGAAGTTAAGTGGGTTTACCTTAAATCTTTCAACAAAATCTTTTGCCAGCTAATCACCAAGGAAAGTGACTAAAGTCAACTCTACTTATAATCACTACGCTTAGGGTCACCTCTACTAGTTACAGTCACAGAATTTTACCCAAAATATATAGCTCATCAATTGGGCTCTGTTTACAGTTGCATTCTTTTTATAGTATAAAGCAATACTTGGTGAGAATATAACCAAAATGTACCATTCTTAACACTTTGCAAAACCTTAAGTCTTCATTCTAACTAGAATCTTTCTACCATATTTCACTATTCAAAACTCACCTTTGGCATATTGCAAAAATCTCAAGATACTGCATATTTGTGGACAAATTTTAATAAGACAAACCTAAAAGCCAACAAGGCACTAGAATGACTTTTACTCCTAGCCCTACCCATTGTGTGGAAAGGCAGGACCCTGGCTCCAAGCTTTCTCCCTAAAGAGAATTATTGCTTCTCTACTAAATAAGGTTATTGCCTTTCTGATCCCCATAGCAAACAGACTGTATCTCACAAATGCAAAAAGTGTTGCTTTTTGTTATAATTTTCTGTCCATTTTCTTTATCTTTCTAAGTAAATGACATTTACATCATTAAGTAATATCTCTTTTAGAACCACTGACTAAGCACAAAACAAATAGTATGCCTACAAAATGTATAAATAATATATGTTATTTATACTAACACCATGAATGAGACCTTGTTAAATTTGTTCATGATTAAAATTCAAAGGTTGTTATCATTGAAAAAAGTCACTGTTAATGCCTCTCGTTCCAACATATGTGTTTTGTTTTGCTTAGATAGGCAAAGTAGTCACTAACATTACTCACTAGTAACTAATAACAACAATAATAACGGTTTCTTATTTGTCACAATAAAATAACTGTAGTTATTTCTACATGCACACACAATTTTACAATCATATTGCCAAGTACCAGAGACAGCTGGGTTTACTTTAATAGATTGTGAGATAATATTTAGTACACCATATTTGCCATGTAGAAGCAAGCCTAAGTAACTTCATGGAAAAACTTATTATAGTCAAAATTTTGAAGTTACAGCATGCAAAGTTAAATACACCATACCCAAGTCAAACTGAATATGCAATACAGCTGAGATCCATGCCCACTAAATGCCCACTGTTTCATTGTTTGGCATTAATGGAAATGGAACATCATACGGTATTTGAGTTTTTTCACAAAAAGGTGAATCTGCCCCTTTGCAACTAATCAAAGGCAGATGGCTGCTTGACTGTTATTTATAAAATATCTAGCTATTTATACATGGCTTTTCATGAGAGAGCAGTAGAAGTTTATGTTTTCATAGTTTTTATTACCTGCTACACGAACAACACATTTGCTTTAATTTCATTGTAAATTTCTAATGTAATTTTTCACTGAGATTTTTACTCTAATCACATTAGCTGCTATCTACAAGTACATATTTGGCTGTCAATAGTTACTAACCATGTGTTGCTAATTCAAAACATTTTTGAGAATTTATTTTGTTATTTTTTCTAAACAATCTCACTTTTCATTCCCTTGTCAAACTGCTCATAAAATTTGCACTCTCTGGCTTAACCCCTCTCATGCTAAGTGAAACTTTTTTCATGTCATTGATTCTAAACACAGACTGTTGAATCTGTTTTCTGTGTCAGTGATTTTATTTTTCATTTTACAATCTGGGTGTTAATTTTTTATAGCATTTCTATATGTCTTCCTATGATTTGTTGGCTTTTTTCATACTTGTCAAGTCTTATGTTTTATGTTTTTTCTCTGCTTGAGATGTGTGTTTTAAACAACATTTGTATGAACCACATTCAAATTCTTGAGGTTTTATGTTCTTAAAAGAATATTGAAACTTAAACTGAATTGTTTTTTTTCCTTTGTAATTTTTAAAAAAAAATGTACCTATTGGGTTTAGAATATTTGTAAACTGTTCATAATGAGTCATGTATTTTGCTTTTTACAGTTTTCATTCTGCATTTGTTTTCAACCAAATTTAACAAATTACAAAAAATATGGTTTTCTTATGGTTTACATAGGGTTTTATACAAACTTATGGTTTTATATGCAAATTCTTCTGGCAAGACACCACGGTAGCTTGACAGATGTGTTTTTTAATAAGGACAACTAGATGATAAATATTGTTTCAAATATTGATACACAAGGGGAGACTAACATACTAAAACAAACCTGATGTTGTGAATTAAAAACATTCAAAATTACTTGGCTTTACTGTCAAATTTTGATAATTTAAATAAATCTGCAATATCAACAACATCTGAAACGTCTTCATCTTCCTTGTAATTTTCTGCCAAGTCTTTATCTTGTTTTTTCAGCTGTTGTACTTGTTTTGCCCATGTACTCTTAAGTTTTGCATCTTGCAATTCAAGTAAAACCCACTCAACTGTCTTTGAAATGGCTGTGTCAGAGTCAATGCCAGTTTTAACATATTCTTTGTATTTTGCTATTAATGTGTCTAGAGATGGCATGCCTGATGAAACTTTCTTGTATTTCTCTCTGTCTGTCTCTATTGTACTTTCTGATTCACCAACAGACTCGTTAGTATTGGCAAAAAGGTTTACTGGTAACCTTTTCAAAAATGGAAACCTCTCGGTGAATGCATCTCTAACATCATCTTCCTTAAACCTTATAACTGGAGGCCTTCCTTCTTCTGCTATGTCACTCAATTTTGATTCAACCACTGGTGGGATAGCAGCTATTACATCAAACCTATAAATAGGTAGTTGTTATCTTTAAAGACATGTTTAAAACCAATCTAGATAGGAATACTATTAAAGGCATAATGCTACAAATAAATAATGCAACTATCAAAAATAGCAACAAACGCTCACATTTTCATTTCAGGAACATCTTATCTGCAGAGCACTGGAAATTTTGTGCACATTATTGGGCAGAGCAGTGCTTTGATTGGACTGACTGGTGTATCATTTTTTTCAGCCACAATAAGTCATCTGGTCATAACAAGTTCATTCATCAGTCAAAAACTTATAGTATTACATAGTCATTCGGTTCATTGAAAAAGGCAGGTTTCCAAAAAACTATATATATGATTTGATGCAGGACAAAGTTGGTCATGGTACACCATGTAACTTAGAATAAAAATCTTTGGAAACAGTGAACATCAGATTCACAAGGGCTGATTCACACATAAATAACCTCAGTCAAGAACTGTAAACATTCCTGGTTTAGCTAAGAGACTCGAGGTTTTGCTCATTTTCTCCAGGTTTTCTTGTTTTTTTTTTGTGTAATTGTCACCTTGTCTCTCAGAAATTTAAGTATGTCATGTGAATTTTTAATAATTTTCTGACACCTCAGTTGATTTTTGAGCAATAAATTCATTTTGTTTTTTTGGTTGTATTAACGTACCTTAACACCACACCTGGTCTGGACATTTGTTCCCAAATCTGTGTTTGTGTTGATTTAACTGTGGATGAATTTGAGTAGGAAGTACTGATGACAAACACTTTTGGGAAGTCCTGGGTACTGCACTACACTAATAATAATTGTGTAAGGACATTCCCATTGTGTTTTCCTGTTTTTCTTGTGTTGCATTTATGTTCTCTTTTTGCTATTATTCCCATATTTTTTTGCTATTGCCTAGGAATTACCTCTGAAAATCATCATGCAGTTCCTTGTGACAACGTTTTGCAAGTACACTTTAAAAAGTTCCTCTGGTTTTTGGCCGAATCTCCCAGACACTTGCAAGAAAAGAATAAGTCTCCAGGTGTTAAAAAATATATGTTTACAGGTCTGCCAACCTTGTGGCAGAAGAATGCACTGATTGGGCAACCTCATCAGTCATGCTCGCGGCCTATTTCTATCCACAACTGGGTATAAATATATACGGCCATCCCTCTGGCACCTCGATTAATTGGTAGATGAGATGATGGTAATGACTAATAAATGTTCCACTTACCAAATCGGTTTGTCCTTTTTGGCTCCCGATGCTATTAAGGCTTTTACCCTTCCGAAAACAGTGCTTTGTAAATGTCTCGATCCCATTATGTTGCATATATTTCGAAAAATAATTGTGGAGTTATTTCACTCTCCAAGAAGGCCGGTTCAAAATGGCAGCCCTTTTGAAATCCTCGTTATGAAAACGAGTCTGTACCATCCGAGTATTACGACATCATCATCATCATCATCATCCATCCAAAAAGCGCTTGAATCTTATAACAAAAAATCGGTGTCACAGCTAATTTATAAAAAAAATGAAAATGCCTTTGAAAAAAACAAACATTAGAGTAAACTAAAGCTTTTCGTCTTACACTACACCTACAACTTTTCAATAAGCCCCCCCCCCCCCCCCCGAATAAGCCCTGAATAATAATTCTGAATAATAAGTTAGAAACACAGTAAAGCAGCATACAAAGCTAGAGTCACGTCGCCCCTTATGGAACGATTCGATTTTTTCATGAATTCTGACTGTGCAATGATAAAAATAAGTATGAAGGAGTTTAGGTTTGTTTATCTTAAAAAAACGCGCGAAATTGTTTTGCTGACGACATTACTTGAACTCTTTGCTAATTATCGTTGTTTCATTTTGTTCTTAAAAGCTAGGAGAATATTTTAAAAGTAAGCAGAATGTAAACGAAAAAGTTGTTATTAGACCTTCGACCCTTCTTTTTTTCCTGCACCTCAACTTTCTTGGTCATTCCCTCGGTCGGTTTTTTAGCTAAAACAAAACTAACCCCCACAACGTGTTTCTTCATCTCCCAAAACGAATATTCGTTGAAACCCAAACAATAGCTTGCACAATTTTCATTCACCGGGATTTTTTATCAGGAGCACTTTCATTGGCCTCTTCGATGGAACGGCAGGCTTCCTGTTGTGATTTTCAACAATTCATGAGTGGCTGAACGTGAAACACGTGATAAAGTCTCATTCAAGTAAGAAAACCAAACTGGGGGATAACTTTTCTTTCTTTACTCTGAATTTGAAAACAAATGGCTCAACGAAAGTCTGATTTGATACTGACGAATGATAAAGGTAGAATGAAAGAAGGCAAATAATAACTCCCGGTTTTTCTCCATTGTGAGCTTTTCTGCATGCCTAAATGTGTTGCTGGGTGAGAAGGGGGGGAGGGGGGTACCGTAACCTGTTTGAAGGTAGGGGACGTGCAATATTTTAGGGGTACCTTTCTTGAAAAATGCGGAATTATCGGTATCAGTTTTTGAAATATGTGCTGAACAATGGGTACCATTTTCAAAAAATGTTACAAAATTATTAGGAAGGAGATTGAGCATTAACAAAATGAATGTCCAGTTAGAAATGAAAGTATGAAATATGTGCAATATTGAGATTTTTGGCAAAGGACATGCAAAATTTGTTTGATGATTTTATTGTGCTTTGAAATGTTATATGCTTTGGGGAATTATGGGTATAGTTTTCATCATGATTGCGGAATTATGGTTCACATTTTCCAGACATGTGTCCAAACTATGGGTCCAAACTATTTAACGGAATTATGGGTCCAAACTATTTAACCAAAATGACACATCTCCGTTAAAAATTAGGCTTAGTCAATCCCCCCCTACCCCGTGAGCTGTTGGCTGTCGTGTCGTGTCACGCTGCATTGTGCTAAAAGTACGTTCTGCAGTTGCAGATGAAAATGCAAATGAATTGTGCATTTGCAATGACTTGTGGGCTCTGCCAGACATTCTTTATGGCATTAAATTGTAGTCATGATTGATCAAAGTTTTTCCATCTTCATTACCTTTTGTATTGCTATGGCATCTTCTTTCTTATAAATTCTGATGACTTTGCTAAAGTTCACCTCATGTTTAAAGCTTTTAGATTACTTCAATTGAAGCTTCTACTAGTTAACTTGGATTAATGTTTGACATGCTCTACTAGAGTCCGTTAAAAGGGGTCCCATCTCAGTTTTCCCTTAGGACCCCAGATGCCTTCGTTACGCCACTCACCTTATTCTACAGTAATTTCCTACATTTTAGAGTGTTGCCGAAAGAAATAGCATTTTTGCACATAAGTTCATAGCAAATGAACCCAATGTTTTAATTGCTCTCATTTTGTTCCTAACCGCACTAACGTTTTATCTCACTATTCCATTCGCATAAACAAAGTGCCATTTTCACAAGGGCACAGTGCTGCCCCCGCTGCCCCCGTAGAGTCAAGGCAGGGGTGGCAGCTGCCCCCGCTGCCCCCGTGCTTCCGGCGCCCCTGGATAAGACTGTCTTTACACAAGCATGTAGATTATACAGCAAATAATGTGCTTGTAGTACTTTTATTTTATTAGGAAGTACCAAAAAGCTGAGAAAACAATTTTATTGAAATCGTTCCATAAGGGGCGACGCAACTCTACTTTTTTATGGCCATACCCAATAAGTGTAAGACACACCGTTTTGGTTGGCAAAAGGCAATACTACCCCTCCGAAAAAACTTTTTGGCATCGCCCCCGTTGCCGGCCCATTTTTACAGCGTGTTGCTTCGTGCCTTGGCATAACAACACACGAATGCTTAACATTCACACCAACCCCAACCTTTTGCTTACCTTAATAACTCCCCCCCCTCCCCCACACTTAAAAAACTTTCTTTTTAGATGAGTGTTCTGTGACTGTACTAGAGTTGACCGAAAGGACATCGGCTAGTTTCCAGGCCGCCAAAAAGTCTCTTCGCGCGAAATTTAGTTTGGACTGGGCGACAAGGACAACACGAAGACAAGTTGTGGAACTCGTGTTAGACGGGAAAGAAGGATTGGCCCTCTTAAAAGGACGTTCCGGTTAGTGTAATACCGATTCAGTCTTGAAAGTAGGATAAGTTAAGCAGCTTTTATAATAAAAGCTATTTTCTGCAATGAAGGAAGAGCTATAATTAAGCAAAAAGAGGCAGAGAAATGAGCAGGCGAATTTAACAAGGTTGTAGATGGTCTTTCAAGCGGCTTGAAGGTTAGCAAGAACAATTTCCACAAGCCCATTTTTTTACTTTCTTCTGCACATTCGGTTCAGTTCACACAGTCACACAAGTTCAGTTCAGTTCATATGATTCGATGTCCAATAAATACGTTTTAAATATGCAAAAAATTATCTAAAGGAACATCTTGTACATACATAACTTAACGATGCTTTAGAAAAACAAATAAAGAAGATTAAAAATATAGACTTGTATTTTCCCTTGAGAGTGAGCAAATTTTTATTAAGTTTCAGTTATGCATGCAATAAAACATCCATAAAAACAGTCAGGGGCGAAAATACCGGGGGGGTGTGGGGGGGTGTGACACCCCCCCAATCCAAAAAATAGTCGATTTCGCAGGGCAATCGAAGATTTCGCAGGGCGCCAAGAAGAGCTTTATTGCCACGCAGAAATGCCACCTCTGAAGTTCGTAAAGGGCCGTTTAGGAATTTTGAAATGGAAATATCGTATTTTTTATGAACCTCCCTTCTTGACATTGCAATTTAGAGAACGGAACAGGTATGTAAGAAAAAGCTCCGTTATTTGCAAAGCAAAAACATTTCTTACCGAAAGTCATAGCCAATGGATGCAATGACTATGTTTATGAGGGCAAGGTTGAGTCCATGCAAATTAATTTAAGTTGTAAATTATTTTCATGACAGGTACGGCGCCACTGGGGGGAGTAGAGGGCTGAAAGCCCCCACTTTGGTCAAGAAAAGAATTTGTTATAATTTTATATATTACTTTTTAACAGTACATGAACCAAAAAACATAATAAATCGTTGAGATACCAATTTTGTTTCATCTAATTGCTAACTTTTTTACGTATATTTTTATCATTTTTCTTTTATTTGCATTAATTCAGTAAATCATTTTCTGTATCATTGCAATGTTTTAATTTTGGATGTGTAAACATGGCCCTCTCGATACAAGAAACTGCACATTTTTGTTCAGGAAAAAAATTCCCCAAATCAAAACAATATCTTCCTCTGTCATTCACAACTATGTGCAATCTGAAACGAAAGGTTGCCGTTTCTTTCCTTCCCCAACGTTTAATACTAGAGTTTTAGCATGATATTCCCCCTCCTTATTTTTCCCAATAAACAATAATATTTTCAATAAACAATCAGTTCTTTTAGCACATAGTATTTTGCTAAATTTTTGTCTGAAAGATGCTTTTTAGCCCTTTTACAAGTTATAGTTTCAAAAATTTTCTTCACGTCGGACCCACCCGGTGGGTCCTCCTACCTCACTAAACTTGATTGTTAGTCCCCCTGGGCTAAATTTCGTTGCGCTGTCAACATCATGTATCCCCCCCCCCCATTAGCTGTTTATTAGCTAGTATTTTGCAAACCAACATTAAATGAAATGAATTTAAAAAAAAATTACGCTCACGTAGAGAAATAGATATTTCATAGGCAATGAAGTTTCAAGTTTGTTTTTATTGCTTAGAAGTTTGTCCTTGGTAAAGACCAGTGTACACTGGTAAAGCTTTCACTAGTAACCTATAGACAAACCGTTGCTACGAGGTCTGCAGGGCACCCATCAGTTTTGCAGGGCAGAAACCCTTTTCACCCCCCCAAACCTTTTGGCCAAGTTACGCCCCTGAAAACAGTTCATCTCTTAGTCGCAGTTGTTGCCAGAATTATTTAGTTTTACGAGACTTGGAAGATCTTAACACTTATGGAACCACTACACGTTTTTTTATAAGAAACTAAGGTCCAGTGCTGGTAGGCAGTTTCTTAAATTTTCTGGCCATTTTGCTATCAAAAGTTTCTTACATGCCCCTTAAATGTTTTTTTAAATTTCTTAGGAACAGAATTTTTTAAACGTGCTTCCAAGGTAAAGTAAATAGTTCACTCACATTCAGAGATAAACTAACAAAGTGATCAAGGAATTTTGTTTTCCTAGAATGACTACCTCTGTTGAGATCTGTAGACAGTTAAAGGCAATCTGTCTCGTTGTGGATTGGTTAACAAGAACAATAGCTGGAACAATAGCCTAAACACGATTCCAGCGCTCTGCCATATTTTTTACAATGCGATAAACTAAAGGGGGACTGGAAACAATAAAAATCTCTTTGTTCTTATAATCAATCAGATTGCCTTTAACCTCATTGAACTTCATCAATGTCAAGTTGAAGCCAAAACAAATCTTTAAGTGGAAACTTCTTCAATGTGCAATTTACTGAGAATGAATGCAAACTGCATGTCAAGTGTAGTGTTGCAATATATAGTTATGTTCAATGTCAAGACTGTTTCGAGCGTCAACTCAGAAAATTAAAACTGCAATTTATAAAATCTTTTTAGCTTTTTGCAATTTGGGTAGGGTTGTTCTTAACTTTTGAAAAATTGGGCCTACTCTTTCTTATAAAAAATGAGTGTATAGTGAATACAGAGCTACTTATCTTTCTAAATGGTTTGTGAATAAGTGGCTTTCATTTGAAATATATTGAAATGAGCTTGGCTGAAGAAATAACAATAATATTCTAAACTACACAAAGTTAACATTGCTTAGTGAAATGTTATTTTATCACTTTTAAGTTTTTGGTGCTGCAAAATTGAAGAGGACACAAAATAGCACAAAAAAGCAGACTGATGAACTGTTCATCCACCACTCTTCAAATCAAATCTCATAATTTTCATACGAGTATAAAAATTGGATAGTGGCCATTTGAGATTTTAGATCCAAGTGTAGATCAAAAATAATGTGAGAGGAAGAAAGATGTGTGTATTGGTTCGTATGTGTATGTCTTTTACCCAACAGTTACCCCTTACCTTTACCTTGTTAAAGAGTCTATGAGAAAACAAACTTTCTGTCCCCACATCTTTGTTTTTATGTATTTTGATGTACAGACCCCAAAACTCCTAAATTAAAGGACAACCTTACTGATTTTCAAATCCTCACACTATTATACATTGTGGCACAATCAATTTGTGAGCAAATGTTGACCAATTGCCAAATTACTTGGTCTTTACAGTTTTTGCAGATATGCCATGGCTGTTCTCTTTTAAGAACTAGTTTTTGCCTGATGCTCACGGAAACACATTGTTTTATTTCATTGATGCTGTCTAGTGATGATATCTGGGCTACAGCCCCCCCCCCCAGAAATTTTCTTTGCCACTTGTTTGCCCCCCCTTCCAGTTTTTTCAAAAGTTTCTATTAACAATCCAATGTTTTCTTCCAAAGCTATTCAATCGTTTTTTGTAATGGTTGCTCTCTTTATTTTGCTCAATGCGATCTTTATTGCATTTATTTGACAACCAGGGGCCTTGATAAGTGTTTTGGTTGTAACAGAGGTGAACATAAATGAAATTTTGGCTCCTTCCTGTAGTTACCAAGAAAAAATCATTCTTGCAAATCATTTAAATTCTATATTTGTTATATATTGTGACAAAGAGACAACTTTTTGGGGTGGGATGTGCAGGTAAGCCCAATCCAAGATTTTCCGCATCCTATTGAAAACCTTTTTCGCTATGGAACCCAGTGAAGCGAAGTACCAATACCATCCCAGTATACCTTGGCATTCTATGAATATTGAATATTGCTGTCATTGTGATATGATATCTGGGCTCAAAATGATTGACTTGATATGAAGGGAAAAATATTATGCTACACTCAATTTTTTATAAGGACCTGGCAATAAGAGATGAGTACTGGGAAATCGGAAGAATTAAGACACTTCAGTTTTTGATGCAAGACAGTTAAGAAATCATTAATTTTGAAACAGGCAAGAAATAAGAAGTTTCTTGAAAATCTTTTAGTACGACGCTGGTTGGCAATAAAATTTAAACAGAGAGAATGAAAATATATATACTTTCCCCATCTAAGTACAGCATAAGAACTGAAGGGAATCTCTTGACAGAAATGTCATGGGCATCCTAAAACAATAGAAGCATCAACAACTGTCTTTGTTTGCAGCCGTCAATACCCTTCAAAACCAGTTCCTGATGAAAGATTTTCTGGGAAGAAAAATTAAATAAAGGAACCTGAATGTAACGTTTCATGCCATCATAGTTGCAAGTCTTAAGAAACTTTGACCTTTCCTTCTTAAACATGAGTATTGGAATTGACCTTTCCTTCTAAGAAAAATTAATATTTTTGTGCCATCTTTGAAACTGTTTTTTTAAGGTGATAAATTGTGGTAGACTTAGAGTCACGTTTCTTAACCCAAATAAATTTCAGGGGCTAGTGAACTTTATGAAATATTTTAAATAAGAAGGTACGAGGAAATTTTCACATGCTTTAGGTGTAGGACAAAATACACTCATTTAGACCAAGTGCACTCTGTTAGGCATTATTGCGGCATTTATGCACACTGAATTGAAAAAGTACATTATTTATGCACAATGTACCAGCTGCATGCAAATCATAATGTTGGGAAGCATTGGTCATGTTCCCTTTGGGAAAGTGTCTTGTATCTAGTATCTTGAAACGTTATCTTAGATACTTTTTTGAAAAGAATCTGGGATCTTGTAATAAGATATTTCTTAAAGTTTCTTGCACATCTCTGGTCAGAGCCTAGATCAAAAACACAAAATCTAGGTGCTCTATACAAATCTCGTTCATCTTTTTTTGAAGTTCTATTGTTCCATCTGATAAACCCTAAAAACCTTTTGGTTTTCTTGGCAATCTCGCCACTGTTTGCGCGAGAAAATTGACCCTCGCTCAAAGCAAGGGAAAATGTATACTATGTTTAAAGACAAAAGTTTAAATACTAAGTATACTAAGTTGTGGACTGAATCAAAAAAGAGAACACACTGTTGCCTAATCACTGCCGCTGGCCTTTATTAGGGTTTTTATTCCCAAAGTACAACAGGGTATATATATTTCCTACTTTTTAGTTTTTTGTTCTATGTGCTGACATTTTATACAAGGAAAAGTTACCGACGAAAAGCTTCAGTATTTTTCAAAACGTTTCTTTTTTAACGCCATTTTTTAATTCTGCAACATCAAAAACAATTCTTAGATTTGCTACTGCTTACCAACTCGCCACTTGAAGTATTTCGTGACTAGAAAAGGGACATATTCAAATAAAGAGAATGTTTAGTTTTACAACTTGAAGAAACGGCAAATTTGGGTGTAGGATGGCTCCTTCATCTTGGCGGAAGCTAATATAATTTCTTCGGAATTGTCACGTTTATTTTTCAAGTAGAAGTAATATCAAATCAAAATACATTTTAAGTTATGCAAATGCTAATTCGAATCCACAGAAATGTAGTAAAAGCCATAGTGATAGTTAAACCAGACATCGGCTGCTGAATAGGAAACTGTTAACTTTGATAGAGGCTTGCATTATTTGATGCTACAACACTAATGTCGTTGTTTAGAAGATCCACGATCAAGTTGTTTGACGCTTTTCAACGATCGTTTAACTTTTTTCAACAGAAAATCAAGCAAGAGGATAGTGCTGGTTCGGTTACAGTACCTCAGCGTGATGTAGCCTGGAATCTTGTTTTAACTGGTTCTCCTTTTCTCAGCCATGCTTCGAATTGACTGAGAAAAAATGGCGGATGTGAGCGGGAACGTAAGTTCAAAATTAATGAGTTTTTGTTGCTAGAACTGATTGAAATTCTTCTGTTTTGTATGATTCGTCTACAAACAGACCATTCCCAGAATATTTATCCTGCCTAAGCAGAGTAGTTATAAAAATGCTCTTATAAATTTGGTCATCTCTTACAATTAAGCAACCATGTTGACGTCATCATGGCTCCAGCTCAGGGTGTAGCACGGTCTCGCCTCAACTTAAAATTAAGGTAACAAATTGTGTGGTCCGTTTTATCCCTCCTTTTCCTAAAAGCTGGTGCTGACTTATCTTAATCTCACAAATTCTTTCCCCAATCCAAAATATCAAAAAACGAAGTCGGGTACAATCGGGCGATAAGTATTTGGTTCACCACAGGTGGCGCAAATTTCTGCTTCAGTTTCTACTAATCAAGTAGGGCATGATTGGCAATTGTCTCCTCTTTGGTCACTGTTTCAAATGTCACTCTGGTTACAATCAGAATTATAATTAAATTTTGTCTCTTCATCTAAGCCGGTTGTTGTAATTGTGAATACTTTTGGCTAAAAGGCTTCTCTTCAAAGATTTTTCCCATCTTAGTCCATGTCTCACTTTATGTGTGTTCTAATTCATTTGCCGTTGGGTTTTGAACACAATCATACCTTATTTGGTTATTATGCTTTTTAAACTCTATTTTGTAGAGATCTTGTTTAAGAGCTCACATACTAAGCTTTACCTCCATAATTAGTGGCAGACACTAACTAGTTTACAGCCAAATAGTTTTATTATCTTGGACTTTTTTCTTACTTTTAATTGCGTATACGTAGCTTGAGCTTTTTCAATGTATTTTTTCTTTTACAACAGGTTTGTTGTCTGCATATCTGATTTTATTTTGCAAAATTAATGCGTGACACGCTTCCGCATTTAAATACTTAAGCTGCAATAAAGATTGATGATGTAGAGGTAATACCTGGCTTTTATCATACCTTGCTGGGAACAGATAGTGCCAAATCGTTCGCTTACCTCTGCACATACTTTTCGTCGAGAAGGACCCTGAACTTTTATCAATAGAGAAATTATGTAAAGAGTTCACGTTTTTCTTATTTTCCTGCTTGCGTATGAACAGGGCGTTATTTTTCCCGTGACCGTGTGACCATTGGTCACAGGAAATCAGTTAGAATATTTTTCTCACAGGAAATTTCTCAACCATGGATGAATAATAGAAAAGTTGTATACACTTTACAAGAAGTTAAGCGATTGGAAGGAATCTAAATGCTCAGAATAAATCAACTCATTACACTGAAAAAGATCAAAACTATGTTTCTAAAGGAATACTGTGCTGAGAGAGCTCAAGGGGATCAGCTTTCGTTGCAAAAAGTAACAAATTATGTCACTACCGATATGTCATTACGACCCATACCGTTATTAGTGTTTGAGATATTTTTTAAATGCAGGCTATAAAGAAAGAACCAACATCTCGTATCACAGGTGTATTTTTGCAAGAATTTCCGACTTGTAACACTACAGATAATTCTCCTTTGTACAAAGATACAGTTTTTGGTATGAGTCTTTCATAAAATCATTGATGCAAGAATGGCAATGCTCAGCATTTCTTTGCCAACCCTTTGAAAGTGTTTTGACAATAGCATCCACTATAAGTGGGGCTGCTGAAAGGGGGGTTGATTGGCAAAATGCCCCAGGGGGCCTCAGGGTTGATTGCACGATTAAACAATTGTAGCAAAAGTATGCGTAAGAACGTAAGATGTTAAAAAATTTGCAAGAAATGACTGCAAGAAATATTCTAAAATGCATTTTAAGCTAATCTTAAGGGCTTGGTGACAAATATTTTCTGTTTCCTCTGCTCACTGGGGGCCTTGACCTTCGGCTTTGTCCTAGGAACTCCGAAACCTCTTTGCAGTTCTGATTATAAATATGGCAAAATATTTCTGATAAAATCTGTACTTTCATATTTTACTCATGTGACTCCTTTTGTCTTCAACAACATAATTTTAACGCATTATTGAGGTTTTTGAATCACAAATCCAAACTAATTTCACAGGAAATTTTTTCAAAAAGTTTACGGTCACAAGAAATCTTGAAGAAAATAACACTCTGCGTATGAATGCAAAGCTGTTATTTTCAAACTAAAGCCAGGTTTTCACTATTTAATTATTTTGTATCATTAGAATTATTTTGTTTTCTTCTTAGCTGCTTTTTGTTGGTTCATATCGGGAGGCAAAAAAGGATTATGGATGTTGATAAACTTTGCAATTATGTAGGGCCTAAATGACATAGAATACCTTTAGGCAAGGTGCTCGCATTTCTTCCCTGGCTCCATTCAAATATGATCACAGGTGACACGCAATCGGCTGCAGATTGACAAAGATTGGACATACTGCACGTATCTCAGTGATATTGTATTGGCAAAAGCTTACGAGCATGCATACGAAGTACACGAAGAACACGATGCTATCACTGAAGGAGGAACCACAAGTAACGTAAGGCAGCATTGCCCAGTGGTGGAGAACACACGAGGTGCAAAACACAAAAAGGTGTCTATTAAATCTTCGTTTATTTAATTAATTATTAAATTGTTATCATTGAAACTATAATAAGGATTTAATTCATTAGTTCTGAAACCTAGTTTGAACCATTGAAGACATATCAAACTTGTTTTTATTCTAACGTTTCCTTCAATATGTTTTTTTCAGTTTTTGGTTAAAAACTAGTTGAAAACATAAAACCTTCTTTTACCAAAATTGATTTTATTTGTTTTTAGAGATGTACTCAAGGGAAAATAGTTTTGGTGATCACATCATCCAAACTTCACTAAAATTGTTTGTGAATTTATGTTTGCGATAAACCAGGGAGCAGCGTTTCATTACCTTATGAAGGATCGTCAATTTAGTTTCTTCTGATGAAGTTTCCTTAAATGCTCTGAAAAGCTTCAAAGAACAAGTAATATGCTAAGAGTTCGACTATCTAACAGCAGCCTTAGCACAATGTGACTTCTTCCAATCCATTGTTATTATTAAATATAAGAATTTTAACTAGTTGAGCAAAATTAACTAAATACTGATTCGAAAAGACAACGAATATCTATCTTGGTATAAATGCTATCTTGGTAACATTTTGGATGACCGTCTCTGCCATTTTATTTCTGATCCAATATGTTCTCTCATATACAACGGTAATTCTGATGGATTAATTGCCTCGTCCTTGGCTACTTCGTGCCTCGTCTTCATGACCACATTACCTAATGAATCATAAGCCACGTCTTTCCATCTAAGTGTCCGTAATACTTTATGTATGCATGGTTTCCCAAACATTTCAGCTTCCTGTTCCGTGGGATTTGAAATCACGTGAATGCTGTACTGAGCTTTGATTCGACGTGAAATTTGGTATTCCCCGCTGGGTGATTCCCATTCTGAATTCTGGCAAAGTTTTAATAATTTGCTGAACATTTCATACCGGGTTTCAGTTAGAGAAATAACCCTGTTCCTTTCGTCTGAGTCGTAATCAGCATGTTTTTCGTTCAATTCAATTCCATCACAAGCATCCTCCTCTATGACGTCACCCAGCTCTTCACTCGTGTACGCATTATTGATGTTTGAAGGAACAGTGTCATTGCTACTTGATTCAGAATTGTTGTGCGTTTCATCGCGTGATAAACGCGGGTACAATCGCGAGATGGGTCTGTTCGAAGTCGAAAACCGTCTAGATTTATTTAAGTTATTTGATGAGTCAAAAACAGCTACTGTGTCTTGAAATTCCACCTTATCGATGTTTTGTTTTTCATGTGCTTCTTCATCATACGCTTGGTTTGCTTTACCGGAATTGCTGTCGCGGGAAATTCGCGGGTACATTTTTGTTTCCGAAATCCTATACCCAGAAATCTTCCTGCTTTTCAGTGCTTTTCCCCCATCCTCTACGAAAAAGGTTTTATTGTTTGATCCTTCTAAGACATAAGCTAAGCTTGCTTTTCTGAAAGCATCACGTGGAAGACTTGTCTTAAGTGTGTCGGCCGTGTTATTGGTTTGATCATCGGGGCTTCTACCATGTCCACTGTATGTAAGATACGCGGGCTTCATTTTCTCTCTTTTGAAGCATTTTGTAATGATCTCTTTGAAGCCTCTGCGAAATGATGCTAACCGCATCGTATACACAAGTGGATTCAGAGAAGAGTTGCAGTAGCCAAAGGTGAACGCGATTATTGGTAGGTAAATTGGGACACTATGCTGCAGAATTCCGCGCATAAGGTAAACAACGAAGGGCAACCAGCAAATTGTAAACACGATAAGGACAATCCAAAGGGTGGCTATCAGGTGGGTCTCTGATTTCAGTAAAGTAAGGTCACATATTGTGTTGCGTCGCATTCTCTTAAAATGTCCCATGGAAATGTAATAGACCCTTGCGTAACAGAATGTCATCACAGGGAGCGGCAAAGCATAGCCAAACACGAACAAGGCCGTGAGATGCGAATAATCTGTAATGCTTTCTGGAGACTTTGGAGAGCACTGGTATCTGTTTGTCACCAAGTAGTAATGGCTCCAGCCAAAGACAGGGCCCGCAGCTAATAATAACGATAGAAGCCAAATGAAGAATATGATAACGAAAGCTCCTTGTTTGGTGACTTTTCGGCTCATGGGAAAGCCAACCGAGATATATTTGTAAATGCTTGCTGCGGCCAATGTATTGATTGATGCAACGAAAAATAAGACGATGCAGAATGCGTTAAAAGTGCAGGTAAAGTCGTTACGAAGGAGGCTTACATCGAAGATGGCAGCTATTGCCATGGGTACGCAAAACAGGCCTGTTCCGAGGTCCGCCAAGGCAAGATTGACTAAGAACATTGCAGTGACTGTCCTCATTTCTTGCTTCATATAAATGCAAAGGCAAACCAATGTGTTCCCAGCTATGGCCAGAATCATAATCAGAATCATGACGGTCGTGAGAAGGGCCAGTTCCCATGTTTCGAATCTGTGTTGGCCAGTTGAACCTGCTTGCAATGGCGCCGTCATAGATGCGTTATTGGCAATCATTTTTTACTGCTATCTTCTACATTACACATAAGCTCATCGGGCCTAACGAATTGTGAGCTGTTATTTCTATCTCCATGTTACTATAGAATGAGCTTCCTCCTTTGCTCATATGCAGATGCAAATGATTTCACTTTCCGTTTGAGCAAGCCCGTTCTTGACTGAAGTATTGCTTTCCTTATGTTAATTTCTGCGAATCCTACTAATCGAAGCAAACGTGTTAACATGCGGGCCAGATTTGCACGCCGACATTCTTACTTACTCACAAAGTGAAACAAAGCAATTATTCTCCAGGTGTATCAAACTCAACGTCATCCATACTTCCTAGCTTTCTTTGCCTTATCTTAGGTTTCAGTTTCTCCCAACAGCTCTTATTTACTATCGATTTTGAATGCAAAAATGGCAGCAGAACAATGGCTACATAACATCAATGTCAGTTTTAATCTTTGACAAACTTGAAATGGACAGCTGTTGGCAAAGTGCTCAAAACCTTTAACACTTGAACCGCTTTTTCAAACAAACTGAATTCCTGCAAAGAAGATAGTACAAAATAAGACCCAGGAACAATGTTAATGTGTCACTTTAATATAAGCTTCGTTACTTTGTTAAACCAAACGAGGATTATTGCGGGGTTGCTCGGGGATGTAAGCATGAGTTTGGAGTTTCAGTTTGGAGAAAAGTGAAACTTGGACAACAAACGGTAGGATGTTTATATGCAACATGCCTACTTTGCAAACGATCATACTGCAGTGCAAATATGTTTGCCATCGGCAATTTTCTCAAGGCTCTCTCCGTTTGATGCAAAAGGCTGAAAAGCAAGCAACGAAAAATAAAACATTCATCTAAAAGAAAGCATAACATTTGTCTGCGTAATCTTCATTTGTTTTTGTGCGCTTCCGTGCGAGGCAATGCAGCTAAGATAGGGTGTTTTAGAGATCGAGTTTTTACTTATTTGTAAACAGTGTTATCGCCACGAAGCTTTATTATTTGGCAGATAGTCATTTGCAATATCGTATCATTTGTGGTATATGACCTAAATCCATATTTGTCTTCTACAAGTTTTAAAAGCGGAAAATGTAATATGACGTAATCAAACTGCCAAGTGCAAAACTTAGCAAATTCTTAGGGTGACGATTTTTTGTTAAAAACTATGAGGACCTGTTACTCTCCTCATTAATTTATTCGACAGGGATAGCGAATGCCATATATTTTACTGGGGAAATACCCCTCAAAGGGGCTAATTTTTATAAATCAAGGGTTTTCTTTCTCGAAATAGGTATAGGTATGGCTTTAGCTTTCAAAGTAGTTGATAAATAAGGGTTTGGAATTCTTTACATCAAGTAACACACAAAGTTATATCATATAATTATTTTTAGCTATCTTTCCAAATCAAGTAGTATATGCAATTATCTTTATATCAGATACTGGTCTGACTGCTAAATCTTAAGATTTTTTACTAAATTTTGGTACACATCTTGGAAATTAGCTACGTTAATTCTTGGCGTGTCCATTACCGAACCCTCTAGTTTTAAAAACTCAATTGTCTCGGAAACCCTCTAAGTGCTTCCACATGTATTTCGTAAACAACCACATTAATGATAATTTAAACATAATTGAAGCCTAACCCTTGGGCAAATTAGTCATTAAAAATTGCTTGGCGTACTTGAAATTTTTACACACATATCAATCATGTCAGGAATTCTATGAAAGAAGTTAAAGAAGAACGTTGAACCATGCATTAAAAGTTACTGAAAGGGCGAGATTGGGGGAAGTTCCTTTTTTATTAATTCGAAGGTCTTAAACTATTAAACGTAACAGAGCAGTGTCTGAAAGTACAGTCTTCACTGGGATATCACATAGCTGTAGGAGCCCAAAAATTGTCGATTTCGTGTCATCTATATGGAGTAAATGATGGAGAAAAACTCGCAATGAAGAATAACAACCTGATAAATTCTGGATTAAAACTATATATCGAACATATAAGCCATATAACAGATAAAGCTATATATCAGATATTAATTTGAAGATAAATTGTATTTAGGTAACTTGGTACCTTTATTGCGTTTACAAACCATGATTAAAAACACACAAACATGATCATAATTTGTTCTTAGAATTTTCGCTGCCCTTCTGCAGCCACCTCAGTAAGAACTGATTTCAAGACACTTTAGGCCATAACAAGAACTAGAGAAGTATTTCACGAACCTACTGATTTTTCCGGCCGTAAAATCCCCCAAGCCCTTTCAAATGCCAGTTTCCTTAAGCGGCCACTTCTTGTCAGCTGTGTTTCTGCTTCTGTTCCTAGACACCGAGAAAGAGATCTAGGTACTTTGTGAAAAATAATGATATTCTATTGTTACGTTCCCGTGAAAATCGCACAACGATCTACATATACCCATTGTGTTGTCGAATTTCTGTGTTAGCACCAGAACATGTCATTCTGCTCGATTCTACAGCATCTGCCAACATCGCAGGTTATGACCTTGCATGACGATAACACAAAAATTTTCCTGCAACCTGAATCGCACTTTCAGACGCGTTATCAAATATTACCCGTTATGTTTATTTAGCATTCAAGTACACAATAAGAGTCTTTTCTTTAGAACCAGGTTCTAAGGGCAACTGGCTGTATCGTTTTCCAAATTGATTCTTTATCAATAAACAAGTGCAGCTAATTATTGTGGCTCCTCCCAAGGAGCATATCTTGCCCAAAATGGTTTCTGTAATCATAGCCCTGCCAAGGAGGACCTTTTCAGATTTGCCCCAGCCTTAAAACATACCAAGAAAAAAGGCTCAGACGTTTTCATTTCTAGGAATAAATAAATTCGTTTTCAAGGAATAAATAAATGACCGTTTGCCACACCAAGCCATCTTATTTTCCAGCCCTCATCACGGGTTATGGTATTGCAAGCTACAATGCCAGAGCATTTTCTCTTGAGTCTTTATTATGTTCCTCTGTATCATGTTTAAAACTTTCTGTGACTGAACGTTGAGTAATTTCTCTCTCTTTTTTATTCAGTAGGGACATTTTTGCAACAGATGTGATGTTGTCTAATTTCTGATTTTAAACCTTCAACAACCATGCTCTCAATCCATGTCTAAAATGTTCTTACCCGTCAGGTATCGTCAGCTCAATAATCACCAGTTTTGAGCATAATTTCGAGAGTTAGTTCCTTGTCACATAATCGACTTGGTATATAGAAACATAAATTGTTGTTACCAGACAACGAAATCAAAAACTTTTGCTTACCTTAATCCAAATCCAGAATAACAAATTTAGCAGAGGCCAGCACTTAGCAGAGGCCAGTTTATCACTTAGCAGTAAAAACAGACCAGCGAGATTCACTTCGACATCAAATTTTTATCGAACATCGATTCGAACTCCAAAATAGGAATTATGTGTTTAGGTTTCTGTCGATTTGTGATGAGTGCAGTTACCCGTTGCTTTGATTTTTGTTTGTCGTTTGTTTTAGCATTCGAGCGCAATGTATGCTATTCTATTTTCCCAGTTCAATGGGTTTTCTCCTTGCATAATAACGATCGCATTTTCTTTTATCCACGGTTTGCTTTTTGCTATTTGTGCAAGTCGGATTGACTCACAAAGAAATTTAATTTGAAAAAGGATTTTCGCCTTTCTTTCAAATCGGATAAAATCTTAGTTCTAAATGGGAGTCAGGTATCTTGCGTTATTTACTTCACAAATTTCTTTAAAAGGCGGTAAAATGTTTTATATTTGAGCACGATAAAATCATCTTGTCATTTTTGAAGTGTTTTCGAGTATTTTATTCCCTTTACATAACTTTGCACAAGTCAGAAACTTTTACTTGGGGCTTGATTCTCTTTGGAATGACGTCACAAGCTTCAACGATGCAGGTTATTGCGACATACATGCAACATCCGATATCTCGACTGCCTGCTATCTCAAACATTCACTGTCTCGAACGTTTTACATCTTTACTCATTTACTCATTATATAGAAGTGTATAGAAAAGTCATTCGCTATCTCCACTGCTCGCTATCTCAAAATTTCGCTGTCAAGAATCCATTTCTAAATAATTTTGCAAATTTCAAAATGTGGCTTCCGAATCATCTGAAGCGAACAGTTTTTATTAGAATGACCTTTGACTTTTGGTATTTTTTCTTAACTGATTTTCTTGAAATGACCTTTGACCTTTGCTATTCTTTACCATATATTATGTTGTTATTATTTATTAATGTTTAACAGCAAATATTCTGTAATCTTGTAAACATTTAAGATTCAAACATAATCCGAGACTTTGTTCATACTGAAGCACGAACATGCTTGAAGCAGAAAATAATACCCAACTACTATCACACTTTGATGACAGGGCTACAATGCCAGTGCCATAGATAATCAGGATGGCAAACAATTTAGAAGACTTTAGTACCAGTCTCAAAAAAATTCAGAAGCTGTGAAATTCTCATTTTTAACAGGGTCTATCGACTGTAGGTTTTGCAACGCAGAAGATCATCTAACGCGTCTGATGATTTAGAATATAGAAAATAACACATATTTCAAAACACAAATTTTGGCTTGTATGGGCTTGATCTGCTTTTATATTTATCCAAAAGTGCTCAAATTCAAAGGACGCTGTTTGTTGTCTGACAGGACATTAGATCTTTTGCAATTGGCTAGCCTGATTTAGCAATAAAGACTATTTCAGGACTAAATACAACATTTTTATTAAAATTTCAATTACAAATCTCACTATTTCAATTGGCTTGCCCGGGTTTACAAAATGAAAATAAATAACAAGCGTAATCAACATATAGCTAAATGTGTATGTAGGGCAAAGTTTGCTAAAGGATTAGTCCATGTTTTGTTCCTTTAGCAAAAAAAGAAGTAAGTTGTACGGACTGAAGATATCTTGTTGAATATTTATTAATGCCAAAGTTGATACATTTATCTACCCTTATTACAAATTTTGCCCATATACACCATCTTGTAAAGCAGTTTAACAGGAGTTGGTTCACTTTTTTACCACTAGTAACAACCGCAGCATCATCAGCAAACTGAAGCCAGTGCACTGGTTGAAACATTTGTTCGTTTTCGTCGTGAGGATAGAAGCCAAGCTGTCTAAATTTGTCTGCTTTAATGAACTGTTAAAACATTTAGAGTGAAAAGGAGAGGGCTGAGGACATCACCTTGTAGAACACCACAAGCAGTATGTGTGGCAGGGGTTTGGAATGTATCTTTGAGGATAAAGGTCTTCAAGCCCAGATATAAGCTGAACACCAGAGCCGGAATATGAGGTGGTATACAATGATAGCAAAATAAAATGGGAATCAAATTATGATTACTTTACCTTTTTGAATTTGGTTTCTAATAAATCCATTTTGTTTCAGAAAGTAAAAAAAAGTGGTGTAAATTTTCAAATCCAAAGGCTTTTGGTCTGAAGCTAGAAGGATCACCTATAGTGTCTTTCCTGTGGCTCAATATCGTTGATACTGAAACATTACCAGAAGCCCATACGCTATGTATATAATAATAATAATGTTTTAATTTGTTTTAAGTTGGCTGACGCGTAGCTATTGAAGCTAATTTAAGCCAACTGTTCAACTAAGTTACATTTTTCTCCAATTGAAAAATATTAAATGAAAGTCATTTATATGTTAAATTTGATTAATGCAATATTTTTTAATACAGTCAATACGAAAAGCCAGTTAATATAACTACATTTTTTTAAACAGTATAAAACCCCTATAAAAATCCCACACCAGCGAAATTGTTTTTCTATAATCTGCAATTGCAGTGTTAGTGTCTTTCTATCTTCAGCTTTTGTAACTTGTAATGTTTTTTCAGTTTTAATATCATTTGGCATTTTATCCCATATTCCTGTCCCATGAATTTGATTGTATCAGCTCGATCTTTTAGTTGCTGTAAGAAAACGATGTAGTTCAGCATGTTGTACATCGAATGAGATTAAGACCAACTTAAATCGCTTGCAAAGGAAATTTGTACATGAAAAAATAAATGTTATAAGAATGGGGAGAACAGACTCAACATTACTCAGATTTTACTCAAAAGAGGTAATTTCTTTTGCCGCCTGTGTGATAGGTGACTGATGTCCCACTTATTTGCTTACAAAACTCACCGAACAAGAAAAATACACTCATTTTTTGTATATTTTGCTATCACAGCAGTTGACATTGAAAAACTTGAAATTTAAGTGCTCGAAGTATTAATACAGGGGAGCATTTTAAATTTGAAAAAAGTCCTAGATTTCGTTAGTCTTCCATCAACGTCATTGATTAGATGGCATAATAGTTAAGTTGAAATGATAAAACATTTGCATAAGTCTCACTAATTCAAAAGTCTAACTTCAAAAGTCTTCTTGTCTTCCATGACGATATTATATACTAAAATGTAGAATAAAAACTCTTTGCAAATCATTACATATAGCACCCTAAATATTTACAAAAGTAAAGTCGAAAAATCATTGAGAAACAACGAGTTGTAAAATTTTCCGCAGCCTTGTAAAGTCTGAGTATTCAACGTAAAACCTGTTTCTCATTAAAATGGGCGTAGTTTTGCAATCAAATGAAAAATAAAGTTCTTTTAGGGTCCTTTGTTTAGGCCACAGCATTAAAAGTAATCGACAGATACTAGAAACCATATGTCAATCAACTATTGGCCAATGAGCAAACATGTGAGTGGTATTGCGCTTGTTGATTGGTCTAGCGTTGATTGATAGTTGCTTCAGCCATGTAAGTACCGATCGAATACATTTTAAGTATTGAAAGAGAGAAATGACGCTACAATCTATTCGATGAAATTAATAAGTGCATATTAACTTGACGATTAAGCACTATTTCATATTCTTCCTGTTTCCAGCTTCACCTCACAATCAAAGGCGGAGCAATCATCGGTAGTTGGTCATAGAGCTCTGTTATTTCGTCGTAACAAAAGCTATTTTCTAACTGTGCTTTTCAAGAACACACGGTGCTATATCTAGTGTTTCGTCTGATTCTGTTTGGGAAAGCACTCCAAGGAACCGTAATTAACAGCAAGGTATTGTATTGGGAATTTGGACACAACTTTGGGAGCATGCTGTCCATTTGATAATCTTTTGTTGCTTAGGATGGTGGCCTGTTGTGTCCCTGATAAATCACAACTTCGTAATTATTTGAAAATTTCATTGTTTAAATAGGTCGGATGTTTGTTGTTTCGAACGTTTGTAGGCTCATCCTGCCTGCAATAAAAGGATTGACTTCATAGATTGCGAGTTCTTTTGTTGTTGTGACGTCATAGATTTCGTATCATCTGGTCGCTCTGTTTTTGCAACTACAATGTCTGCCAAAAGTAAAAAACAATCACCCCCTCTCCCCTACAGAACAATGTTGGTTTACTATGAAACGGGTTAGGATTTTAGGAAGCACTTTCCTTTGCGCTTCTTTTATGATATTTCTCTGAATCATCAACATTGTTTTAGGGGAAAGGGGGCGGAAGTAGCAATTTTTTCCATGAAAGGAATGAAAGATATCAAATGCAGCGTAAATTGCTGGGTGTTCCAAGTACTTTTGACAGGCATTGTAACTCTTTCGATTTTCGAAGCACGGTAGACATTTTCCAAAGAAATGGCTTTAAATTTGTTGCTTTCGGCTAAATTTTACTAAGACGCTCTTAAACGAATCATTTTAAACGGCATAATTTAACATTACAGCATCATATTTGAATATCAGCGTAAACAGCAAAAATATACACCGGTGTTACTAGCAATTGGGTTTTGATGCGATCTTGGTTTAGTTTTGGTTTGTAGCAAAGACAATTTCAAAAGGGCAAGTCACTCAATGTATTTAAGTCACACAAAATCACGCACACTTTAAGAGAGAGTCGTATGTTTTTTCCCGAAAAGTTCCAAGAAATACCTTGGTGGAAGTCACCTACGTCTTTTGCAAGAGTAAATTATCAAAGTTTTGCTGGTTTGGTTTGTTCATAATTGGAATGACTATCTGTCTATTTAGGGAGGGATTTAAATAATGTGCATCTAAAAATAGAAGTTTTTCGAGCAGTGCTGAGTTCCATGATGATTTAGCTTAATGTATTGCCCCACTTTGTTGATTATTTATTCATCGATGTCAGTTTCGAAGCCAACAAGCCACTTTGTTCATCGTTTAGAGTTTGGAAATTTATCAAAACAGGTTAGTTGGGCTCCAGAGAGAGCTCTTCTTTTTTCTCTTCTT